GAAAGATGACAAGGTAACACATTCCGTTTATTTTAGATTTCCTGACACGACCATGTCGTGTCATTGTACTATCGACAGCTGAAGCAAATTTCATTTTTCTTTGAATTGCAAAAGCCTCAGGATTGGCAATCATGTATATTGAAATCTACACAGTAATTAGATGATTATTTTACACTCCGTTACAGATTGCTGAGGCCACCAACTCTATTTTGGAAATTCATTCAGAACTCTCCGACGCACTAAAAGATATCAAAGAATTCACAGGTTAAAAATCTACTCCTTTTCATATTTATTACTATGATCAATGTGGTTTGTGACTTAAGAAAGAAGTCTTTTAACTCGATTGTCTCAACACAAAGTGTGAGCTGAGAAATATGATATTGGGGAATCACCAACGTTGTGATTAATATTCCCTGGTAAGTATATGTAAATTGCTCGCTGGTCATCATATGCTTTTCTCGTATCTAGGATCTGTTTCAACTCTTATAAGATGGTCTAGACCACGTGACGATGGAGATGCAGTTGTGAGCGGTTACCAGGTTTTTGTTGATGGGTTCCGTTACGGCAAGATTTTATCACAGTGGAGCTTAGAAACCCGTTTGAAGGTATTTTTTTTAACTAACCAATTTAACCTATGCGGCGTATTTTTATGGCTTACTTCTATAAGCAAGTTTTGTGATGTCGTGAAGGACCTTAGTGTACGTTTGACTAGTTTTTTGGTTTTTTTATGCCATCAGTTGTCTGTTGATTGTCACGTGATTGCTGTGCAGACACTCACTGATCACCCAGTTGGACCCAGTTCTCTTTCCAATGCAGTTTCACTGTCTGGCCGTGAATTTGATCCTTTTGTGTTATTCTGTTACTTTGACGTACACAATAGAGGTGAAAGGTGTGTAACATTTTTACTAATCGAAAGGCTTCATTACCTCGCCACGCCCTGAAATACACTTTTCAGAGGGTTTTGGTCATAATGAGGACTGATAGCCATGTTACTGCCCAGTGATATAAAAAGTCAATGTGAAACAGGCTGATTAGAATTGCAGCAAGGATAATTAAGAACTTTTCTTGAGCTATGAAATGATTTAAAATGAATTAGGATGAGTTTTGTGAGTGTGAACAAATGTTGGATTTTGGGAGGGGGTGGGGCGGGGAACTTTGAACCGGAATACCTTGGGTTTGCTCATGAATGAGCCCATAATTTGAGGCTAACTGAACCTCTGGCAGGTGCGATAAACCAACGTCTCAGTAATGTTTAGTATTTGTAAATCTGGTTTTCTTAATAATAATTGCGGCTGTTTTTGTTTCAGTTGGCCAATACATGGCTGCTGTGACTGGGACGATTCTCATTCTTTCGAGCATAAACACAGGAGTCAGTCTTCAGGTCGAGTCTTTATACCACGAGGAATCCTGGCCCGTAGAATTCCTTGTCCTGTGTTTAGTGTAATGGACGTTTTCAGTGCTCTTTGGCGACCAGTAGCTACTCTTGGTCTCAACAGGATGGTTGCTTTGCTGTTTTGGACAAAGTGGTAAAATTCATCGTCATTGCCTTTCGGTTTGTCTATCTGTTTGTCTTTATCGTTCGTCCTGGCTATCTGTGTATTTATCTGTCGGTATGTTGGTCTGCTATAATCTCTCCCTGTCACCGTCGCTCTTTTTTGTTATTGTGTCTGTCTGCTATGTTTGTCGGTCTGGTTTTAAACACTTGCATGTGGTAAACTCCAAGCTTCTTAAGGGGGATAAACTATACTCATGGCAGAAAAACTTATCTGGTAATTTCAGGTGTTTTTCGTCACTAAAGGTCATGGAGTATTTCGTTCAGTTTGCTGAGGAATTTAAGGATGAGGTAGGTGTACACAGAGCGCCCCACCCCACCCTCCTGTTTAAAGCACTCCTACAAATCTTAAATCACAGGGAGGTATAAAAAATACTAAGGGATGGACATATAGTAGGTACTTGGCGTTAGTTGATACTAGCGTCAACATTTGACTCAAATTCTTGAGTGGCTCGGTTTTTGCGGCTTGGTTGAATCTGATAAAATGGAAGCAAAGAAAGGAAAGAAAGCTACGTAGGAATGTCAAATAGAAACCATAAGCGGGAATCACAACATGAGGTTCACAGACTGGTGTAATATCGTTATTTCTTGTATTTTTTTCTTTTTTTCGTTCACATTTAGTTCTCATTTGTCGCATGTTGTGTGCGAAGTGAAGAACCAATTGCATCTCATCGCCAGGCTCTTGCAGACATTTTGACCGAACGAGGATGGCATAAAGGTGGCAACTGCGTTACACACACTTGTGGCTGCCATTCCCAGAGTAAGCGGACTCGCAGTGCACGTCGAGGCGCATCAAGTAGCCCGGATGTTTGTCAGTTGTTTGGCCTGGTTGGAACACCCACACTTTTTCTGTTGGACACCTCAAGTAAAAAAATAAGAATACTTTTATGTTGTATATTTTAATGGTATATAGCACGCAATAATTAATTGTGCTCTTCGTGTGCGCAGATTGCTTATCTCTGGAGTGATAAGCTAAAATTATTGATGTATCATTGAGGCCAAAAAACCTTTTTTAAGCAACGCACTATACGGGAATTTCACCTTACAACGAACACATCGTTTTTTTTTTTGTTTTTGACGCTGCAACGAAGATTACCTGTGCAGATACGCAGATACACACGCAATAGTAAATTTTGCTTATCGTGTGCGTTGATTGGTTCTCTCTGAGGTGATCAGCCGGTACTGTTGACTTCTTTTATTAAGGCGAAATGTCGTTTTTAAGCAACGCACTATAGGAGAATTTCACATTACAACGAACACATGGTTTTTTTGTTTGTTTGTTTGTTTTCTTTTTTTGTTTTGTGACGCTGCATCGAAGATTACCAGTGCAGATACGTAGAAAGTTTAACGAATTGATAGGATTATGTTCAACTTTTATTACAAACTAGAGCTAAAGCAGTGATAGTAGTGTTTCATTTCCATTTGCTTTCAGGTTACATTTCATGGCACGGCCGCTGTTCTTGTCAGGACGCGTCAAGTTTTCGCTTATTTCTTTTGCACATCTTTTCTCAAGTAAGTCAGACTCTCTGTCGAGTGTCCAGTTGCAAGTACTGTGAAAGCGACAGAGAGTATGAACAAGAAACCAATAGCTCTGACGACGAAAAAAACGCCGAAAATATTGCAGGTCAACAACATAGAGAATCATCTGAGCTGAAGTTTTTACATCAACGACTTCACGGAACTAAATCAGACAGCGCTTCCTCAGGGACACTTTTGGTGCCTGCAGGCTATAAAAAGGAACGTGCCAGACCAAAAACAACCACTGCTTTTGGTCGCTTTGCAAGTTCATCTAGTTACAACAGCTTAAGAGGGTTTGTTGAACCGTACAAAAGTTACCCCCGTTCTTTTAGTGCACGTGGATTCATTCATTCATCCAATCAGAATGACACTGGAGGGTCGGAGTCATTAGCAAGGAAACATCGTTCTGGCACTCCGCAAACTAGTAACCAATCCCCTTCTGGCAGACTCGCGCTCCCGGTTATTTCCCGGCAAAGAATAAAGAGATCTCATCCACACGACCGAGGCTCAACGCCAAAAGTGAAAACGAAGATATCTATTGATGATTTTGATCTCTGTTAGAAATTATCTCCAGAGAAAAATAGAACAATTTGACAGAATCGTATTGAGCTCATTACGAGGATAAACATACATCAAAGACGCAATTAAGATGTTTTGTAACAAATAATAATTAATGAAACCAGTAGGAATTTCGGACCAAGTGAAGGGTTAGGGTGACTGGATATTGATTGAAAATAGAACGAGCTACATCAATCTCAAACAGGTTAAACAGACTTGGTCAGCTTATATCGTCAGACTTGGTCAGACTTTTTTCAGCTTATATGGCCAGTAGATGGCACGAAACAACTACACTTCTCGGATCAATATCAGTGTCTGGGCAACTGCCCACCTACCCCTCCTTTAACCCAACATTAACCCTGACTTGTTATCAATTGACTGTTGTTGAGTTAGGGGAGGGGCAGGTGGGCAGTTGTTCAGATACGGATATCCCACTTTTCTTAGGTAAGTCCCACTTTTAGTTTAAAATTGTTTAGAAAATCAGTTACATTTTATTTATACAGAGATAACTCTATACTTTCGTCCTGGTGACGTTAAAAGGCACAAACGTATTTTGTTTACTCTAAATGAGCGTTTTTGTATCAATCTGTTTACTCATTTTGATTACACTAAATCAGTGTTTTTGTATCACTCTATATTTTTTTTGTTCACTCTAAATGAGTGTCTTTGTATCAATCTATTTAGTCATTTTTTTACTCTAAATGAGCGTTTTTGGAGCAAGGTACGTCACGATGAAGACCGCGGTTCGCGGAGACGGACGCATGTTTTTTTAAGAGGGAGCGTGTTTTGGAGCGTGTCTTTAAGCCTTTAATTCGGCTGAAATTAACTGGAGAGTGCTTGGAGAGTTAGCTGTTAAGACGTGCGCATGCGTAAGAAAAGTGGTTAACTTTGGAGGGTATAATCATTGCCGGGGCGCGTTTTACGTGAGAATGTGCTTCAATATATGAAAGCATGCATAAAAAACACAGACATGGGACAGCACCGAGAAGTACTTTTGTGGAGTTGGAAGTTTTATGATGCAAGCAGTACCAAATGCCAAAGGCACTAAAGCGTCTTAGAGCTTGTTCTGCGCAGCATGTGGGACCACAAGTTTTAATGCAATGGAGCACATTTCTTGAGCGCGGCCATGAAGGGAGACTGAACCTTTCCCAAGGGATGAAATAATAAAAAAAAGACTTGCCAATTAGAAATATTCCTGTGCACACTCTGGTGGTTGTGCTAAAAGGCCAGGGCAATGTATAATTCTATATCTTTTTTGTAATTGTGATTTTGGAGTAGACATTGTTTGAAGGAAAAAAAATAGTAAAATTTATTCCAAAATTATGTGCAGTTTTGCATTCCTTTCCATGTAAAATGTCCCCTATAAGAGCAGTTCAGATGAATGTTGTTCTCTTTAATCCACTAAGTTTATGCCAGTACAAGCTATACATAGATATGTTTTTTCTCAACAAAACTGGAATTTCATATCACTTGTGGTCTGGCAAGTTATTCAGTAACCTGCAAGCCAACCAGAAAAACCCTCTGGTTTCTGGCATGGGTCAGAGCTGTTGAAAAATTTACTTGACTTTGCAGAAGAAGATGAGCTCTACCAGTTACAGATGACATCATGATCATCAAAACAGGAAAGGAACTCATCTTGGTCCATTATTTTAACCAGTACATGGAGCCTTTCACATTCCACTCCACCTGCTTTTGGGCTGACAGTGATGATAGCATATTTCTGCAACGATTTACTTGATAAGATCAGGCCTGTATCCCACATTTTCGTCCCAGCCTTTTCTACATGTTTTGAGAATCCAATCGTGTTCATCATCATCTGGTGGAAAACAATAATGATAGTTTCACTGTAGATAGTTTGAGTAAAACAGATCAGCTGCAAAAATTCAACAATTTCTGGTAAAGGTAATGAGTGAATAGGAAACTGACTTTGGTTTGCTTTTGTATCAAAAACTGTACATAATGATGGTGCGTGGACTTCTTTTCATATTATATTTACTCACTAACCTGCATTTCGAAGAAACTTGTGATCATAGTCAACAACTACTCTGGATACAGGGTTGTAAAAACCATCGCCACAATCATAGCAACCTTCTGGAATCTCTCGAGGTGGAATACGATTTGTGAGCTGGGATCGCCCTACAGGGAAACAGAAAGAACATTATTAGAAAAAGGGAATTTCCTATTCCAAACCTTGCATGTGCATTTAACAATAGTAACAATGAAGTACCTGCTGGCTTAAGTCCATGGCAGATCTCTGTATAAAATCTTCTGTCATATCCATCGCAGTACTCCCAATCCTCTGCATCATATTCTAAGCCATCAGCAAATGTATATTTACCCTGGAAAGTATGTACCACAAACTCTGCATTATCAGTTTGTTGAGCTGGTGAAAAGCTTAAAATATTTTAGTTTAACCCACCCCACTCCCCTCCAATGTGAAGGCAAAAGTTGGGAGAGGAGAGGTTCAGGGATGAGAAACCGTTCAACCTCAATTTCTAAAGCAACTTAACAAATGATTCAGAGCATTTTGATGGCAATTTTGTTTTTCTTTATGTTTTCAGTTCTTTCCAAGTTGGTTACAATGTTAAACGTACCTCAACAGCAACTCCTTTCTCCCATTTTCCAACATACTTGCTTCCATTTGAGAAAAACAAAGTGCCTTCCCCATGAAACCTTAACCAAAATTAGCACATTTCAATACAGGAAATTCAATTCAAATTGTGACACTATAGAGAATGAAATGCAACAGATAAAGAGGTATAGTACATTAATCACTATAGCTACTGATTGATCACAGTATGAAAGGATTGAGATTTAATCCCTGAATTTTCATCAGTAAAAGAAACAAATCTTTTACATTGAATCCAAAATCAAAACTGACAATATTTAGAAAAAATTATATCTAGGAACAGCATTGAACAAGTAATGGAAAAGACATAATGAAGGAAAATGCTGGAACTCAGGACTTTCGCCTGGAGCAAATGTTCGGAGTGAAAAAAGAACAATCAGTTCTAAGAATGCAACATCTTAATTGGCTCCCCACTGGTAACATGTTAAATAAAGATGAAAAGAAAGCAAGCAAGCAAGCAAAATTACTCAACATAGCAAATAAGTTTCGTGCGTCACACTTTGTCACGCTATATTGACAAGTGCGTCATTCATAAACGTGCGTGACGTCAAACAAACTAATTGCAAATAATTTTTAGTTCTCGATTATTTGATGAAAATTACACAAAAGTAAAAACTGAAAAGAAGAGATCACTGAAATTTACACTAGCTGACTATAACATCCGTTACCGAAAACGCATAAATCGTTATTTAGGACACGTTCACTTTGACATCCTTAATGAATTTATGTGATGACGACAAAACCACTCAAAGTAACGGCAACCGCTTACCAGGAACGTCTCCCAAAAGGAAAAAATAAAATGAACTTACATTCCATCGTTCATTTCGCCGACGTATTTTGTTTCAAGTGACGGAGGCAAAGTGTATTCCGCTTGACCTTCCATTCTGGAATTATGAACACAAATGTGATTACTATAGCTAGTTTGAGAACGATGCAGACAATGCTACAAAGTAAAGGTATCTTAACCTTCCATTTTTTATATCCCCCTCGTGATTGCTGCCAGTGTATTCCATTTTATGGTCTCCAGAAGTACATAGACCGCGAATTGTTTTCCAAAATGGCGGACAGTGGTAACTTGCTGCTATAGCAACGAGAGGAGCCCACAGTTGTAGTCAGCGGTGAGAAGCACGTGACAGCATTATATAATATTTTTCCATATAATTTAAATATATTGGCTCTCAATCGGTTTTCTGTTGCTGAAGAATTAAGACTCGCTTCACTTTCTAGTCGGTTATTATTTGACTTCTCCAGGCTTCACTGAAATATTTTGTCTAAAATGGAGGACATGTCAATGGTTCAGACACTGAGGATTTGGAAAGATGGCGTGACTTTCATGGAAGAAGGGAACTTTCAAGATGCGCTTATGAACTTTATGGCCTTAGAAGGGAGAACAGATTCTTCTCAGCATCTTATCACTTCAGGAAGAAATCTGTTCAACATTGGACAAACGTACTTAGCTCTTGGAAGAATGGATATGGCAGCAAAGGTACTTTTGGGTTTATTGAATAGATATCTCGACTTCCTCAGTCTTAGGTGTTAAATACCGATAGTTTTAAGAAGTTTTCATTTACTTTAGGTAAATAACTGATGATCGTGACTTGGTCAATGAGCCAGTATAACTAATCTTGAAATTCTCCCTGTTCCTGTCACGCAAATTACAACCATGATTTTGCTGCCCTTTGAAGCAAAATATTTGTTTTAAAGATTTGAAAATTTTTATGCTGATTTTCCAAAATGTGCGACATGTTTTCAATATTATGTGCAAATATTGTTTATTATACATTGATATATTTGTTTTATAAATTATATTGTAATAAATGAAGTTTTGCTGAGTAAGCGGGGTCAAACAAGTTGTCCTCTTTTAGAATGTACTTGCTTGTAATGAGGTGTACGCGCCGATGAATTCATGGATATTAGTGTAATAGTCGTTAATAATAACCAAAAACAATTTCGAAATAAGATCCAGTAGGAGATTCTCTAGTAGAGATAAATCGATACCACGGGAGATGATTTTGATCTTTGTATTATACGACCACAGATTGTTCCATTAACTTAATGTTGCACCGTTGCACTTTGCATGACTGACTTCTTCCTAAGGGACCTTCTTGGACTACAAGGCGCTAAAATAATCAGGATTGAGTATTTTTGATATTACACTCATATACCTTTAAAAGAATGTTTATTGTCTGCTCCAAATTATTGCAGTGATAGGTATTCTTCATAAAGAATTGTTAGGGAAGGCAATCAGAATTTGCTAAGGGCAGACTGGAATGGAAATTAGACATGCATGTTACCAATTATGTGAACAGATGAAATTCTCTCATAAGTAAATTATACAACTAGTCTTTCTCCAAGTGTTTCTCCTTTATCAGTAATCATTCTACATGACTCTTAACTCCATAATTAACAATTTTCAACAGCTTTTAGCAACTGGCTTTCAGTAGTTATGCAAAGTGTTTGTCAGTCAACATCAAGACAATGACAATGGAGTTCTGATGAGAAAAAGGCTGCAAAAGCTCAAATTTAATCATTTCTGTGGTTAAATGCACACTGACATTAGAATGCTAAGTACACTATTGATCTCTATTGTCTATAAACCAACAAGATGAAAGAGGTATTAACAATAGTACCTGGAATGAATTCTTCAAGTTGAATTATGAATCTAATGATCTATGCAAACTATAACATGTCTATCAGCAAATTCTTCTCACCATATTGATGTAATTATTTGCTATCCTTGACTAATCACCCCATTCAAGGTTTCAGGGAAATCTGGAGGTTTTCAGGAATTAAAAAAAAATTCATTGGTCATGTATATTTCAGGACACTTACCATCCACTGGTTTATAAACTCATGAATCACACTTGTCTTTCTGTAAAATTTTTGCTTTAAATATTGAGTTTGGCTTAATCACATGTACAAATCAACCTTTTGCTACCCTCTCAGGTGGCCATGATATTGAAATTTTTACAAACATGATACAACCTGATGTAAAATTAAATCCCATTACTTCTACCAAATGAGACATTAAATAAATTTGAACATGTCTCCAATTTTACTGTCAAAGGAAACATTTCCTTAAAATTATTTCTAAGAAATGTAAAGTTTGATAATTAGGTGCCACCCTTAAGTTAGCACATCATGTACATTTTACCACCAAGGTGCAAAACAAAACAAAAAAACTTAACAGGGCTGAGTGGTTTAGATGTATCACATTACACTGTAGATGCAGAAGAAATTGTTTTCACATCACCAAAAAAAATGCTCACTTTCCAGAGGAAGTGTGTTCTTCACCATTTCTTTTACCTAGGGAATTAAAACCAAAAAAAAAATCTTGCATGAAGAATTCAATCTGCTGGAAGCATGCAACCAACATATACTGTCTCTGTGAAACCCACCCAATAAGGTTTATTCACTGTTTTATTCATTGAAATTGTTCAGGTGCAGTAATAAATGATGATACTGTTCATTTATTTAATGATATTCCTTTTCTTGTGAAGGCTTTTGAGGAGTCTGTAGAAAAAGACAAAATGATGGCAGTTGCTCATTTTATGTTGGGGAACATCAATTTGTCTTTGGACAGGTAATATCATAAGTTACTTAAGGAAATTCATGAAATACTTTTACTGCATTGATTTCATAGTAGTGTAATTGATTATAACAAGGGTAGAATAGAGCAAAAAATGATGGAAGTTCTGGTAGGTTTTGTCAAATGATGCTGGAATAAATCAAAGTAGCCAACATGTACAGGAAGATCTGACATTCAAATTGTATTTTGATAGCTGTTCTCCTTAATTATGGAAACTTTTTCTTTCATTTGTACTACAATCCATTCCAGGGCAGATAATTTTGTACAAACAATTTGGATGGTTGTATTTCTTTTTTTTTATTATTGTTTACATGAATGGTTGGATTGAATTTTCCATCAGTTTTAATTAGTGTACTGTCTGATGCAGGCAGCATTCTGTTGCCATATAGAGTTGCATGGTATGTTGGCTCCCAAGGAGAACTAAAGCTCAAATGCTTTCATCCAAAGCCAGGCTCTACTTTATAACCTGCCAGGTCTTAAAAATGGTTCTTTTATACAGCTATTAATCAATGCAAATTAGGAGTAGGATTTGGACATTATTTTGAAATTCCATTATTGTTAGTAATAAATGATTTTTTGCAATTATACAACATGAACTGTTTCTTTTGATTCTCTTGTAGGAATGAGAAAGCGCTGACAAACTTTGATAATGCTTACTTCTATTTGCGTGGAAACAAATTGATTAATTATCAACAACTTGGATTGAAGGCTAAACTCTACTTATGTGAGGTATAGTTCATTACACATGCCAATCTTGTTGAAGGAACTTGGAGCCTAAGTACTGGACAGGTGCTATCTTTAGTTGAAGGCAGTAGATTTCAAGCTGGCAGGGCACAGTTATTGAAAAATAGGGTCTGAAAACAAGGAGGAATGATTTCTTATTGAAATGGAGATAAACTTGTCAAAATTTAAATTTCTGTGGCAGCATGAGTACACAAGTTCATTATGTTTATTGATTGATGATAATTCGGGTTGGTGGATGATGAGTAATTATTCTTTGAGACAGAGTTTGCAGTTTTTGCTTGTGCTGCTGTAAGGTGATCTTGATGAAAGGATGCTCCATGAAATGAAGTGGTTAACGTTATTTTCTTTAAGAGTCTAGATGTGTTGAGTTTGCTGAGTTTGGTAGAGTTTCTGTGTTCTATGTGTTGGAATGATGTGGTGTGGTTTCTGTATCTAGTCATGAAGTCGTTTTCTTTAAGTCCAATTTATGTTTCAGGGGTGCTGTTGTCCTTATGTGTGATGGTGACTTGGTAGATTAGAGATGATTGGAGGCAGTTTCCATTAAGTGGGCATGTGTTCTTCTGTTGGCAGTTGCAAGTTTTGGTGTCTTTTGTGTTGGTGTTAACTGCAGTGTCATTGATGTGTTTGGATGAATTTAAAATGTGTTTGTTGTGGTTGTCAATGATCAGTACTTAGTGTTAATAATGCAGCTGTTACTGATCTTGATTGTACTACGATTAGAGATTTTTCCAAGTTTGTGATCTTTCGGGAAGTGCTTTTCTACTAGGGCAAGGAATCTGTGTCCAATATTGGTGCTGATGTTTTTGCTGAATGGGGGGTTGTACCAGAGTATGTTGTTCCCATGTCTGTTTTTTTGTTTGTTAGTTATGGGTGGTTTGTGTCGAGTGTACAAGTATCCGCATTTGTCAAGTGCTTTTTGGTATGGAGGAGCAGCTTAGTTGAAGGATGCTTTGTGGGATGAAAGGGATGACTGTCTTTTGTGTATGCCGGTGGGTATGTTCTTTGTGGTGGTTGGTAGGTGGTTGATCACCCTACAACAGCGCAAGCAAAAGATGCAACCTCTGCCTCAAAGAAAAATTATTCATCATCTGTTGATGTAAATTATCATCTCTCAATAAATGTAATGAACTCGTGTCCTCATACGGCCATGGAAACAAAGTGCTACTGCATAACAACTGAACTAAGCATCAAAATTTACTGCCACACCTATTATGCAAATTTGTAAAATATATATTAAATGATGGTATGAATATTCTTAACAATAAAACCCCCTGATGAGTGAGTAATCACGAAACAGGCTTGTAGGGATGAAAGTATAGTCTCTCTGTTTTTTCCCCATCACAATATATATATATATATATATCACTATATGTTATACTGTAGCATACATTTTATTTCACCCTTGTTACCTCTTTACCCAATTTTTTTATTCTCTTCCAATTAATCTTGTTCTCATTAATCCTCACCTTTAATTTGTAGGTAGAACATTTATGAGGTAGAATACAAATTTGTTCTTTCCATTTAGATCCTAGCCAACCGGGCTATTGCACACTCCAGGTTGGGTGATGTTCAAGAAGCCAGAAATGATTTTTTGATGGCTTTACAATCCAAGGTGGAGCCACGACACAGTGTTATAGAAGACCTACTTCTCAACTGGCAGGTAATGCATTGTGTTTTACAGTAAGTTTTTTATATAAGGTGTTAAAAGTGTTAACACTAGGTGTATAACTGACTGGCTGTCTAACCCTACAGACTAAATGACTAATTGATTGACTGACAGACTACATTGCAGCTTTCTGACTGATTGATTGAACTGACTGACCAAGTGGTTGATGTACTGACTGAGTCACGTAATGACTAAAGGGGGAAAGTTTCTAAAGAAACTGTGGTGCTGTGTCGCTGGGAGAGTATAGTTTAGGGTAATTTAATATTATCAATGAGTTGATTATCTAAATTGGCAACCGCATTGGCTCGCCCACCGACTGTTTTATTGACTGACTTACTGTAATTATCTGTCTGACTGACTAATTAACTGACTTGCTGACTTACTGGCTATTTGTCTGACTGACTGACTTGCAAGGTGACCCATTGACTGATTTACTTGTTTACAGATTAATTGCCTAACGGGTTTACTACATAGCTCACTGACTGACCAACTTACCCACTGCATTACTGGCTGGCTCTCTGACTGTCTGACTGGCTGACTTACTGGCTGTCTGTCTGACTCACTGATTAACTAACTGACTGCCTTGCTGACCAGTTGACTAGCTGATCGAATGGCCAACTAACTGGCTGGCTGTTGTACTGACTACATGTATTTGACTGCCAATTTGACATGATGTCTGTCTGTTTAGACCTTCCATTACCTTTTCTCTCTATGATAAATGTACATTTTAGTAAGATGCCCCGTCTCTTATCCTTCAGTCTGGACAAGACACAAAACCCATGAAGATGCCATCAAATGCGGTCTTTCAGCCACAGAAACGCCATATTGATGCCATCAGCGAAAAGCGTGATTTCTTGGGGCAGTCGAAGGTAAGTAGAGAAATAAGGTTGAGGAACGCTGTCCTCGATGAATAGGAAAGATTTTCATTGTTGTGTCAGGAGCCCATGGGCTCCTGGTTGTGTGGATAGTTCAAATTACTCTTCATTTTTCTGTAGAAATTGAACTCATGATTTTCCATAGCCTGGTGTAATTGGCACTTAATTATTAAATAATGAAGAGTGCGTCAGTTCGTGTTGAGCATAATTCGATCTTCACTATAATAATTAAAACTTAATTCCAGTGTTAAACCATGTAGCCTAGGAGAAACTCCTACTAAAAAGGGGACACAGAATAATTCAAATAGAAGAACTTAGACTAAAACATCTACACTAAAATATGAACATGAAGCAGTTGAAAGAGTGTGAATAGAAATTCTCACTAAGTATAGTCGGTCTGAAAGTAACTTTACCGCTTTACTAACTTTTCCAATGTTAGGTCGTTGCTGAAAATGAAGTCACAAAGTTCCCCAGTACTCGCTCAAGAACCTCCACGGTATGTTTTTACTGGTTACTGTCGTTTCACTTTCTTCGCGCGAGATCCGTTGTATTTAAGAAATTTTTTAAAGCTCATGTTTCTACATATGATTCATTATATTTCATAGATCCATAAATCGTTACTTTTTATCTACTATAATTATTATGAAATCATGACACTGAACGGTTTTCTAGATTCTTAAGAGTAACCTAACCTTTTGAAAATTGTCTTCAAACGCTCTGTAAAGCCCAGTCCGCGGATGCCGTCATTGTACCACTTGTTTGGGCTTATTTTTACATCCTTTGGTGATCTGGTACAATTTCATGAAAAGGCATCCTTTTGTCTTGCAACTGGTACCTTTCTGTGAATCAAGCATTGCGGTTCGGTTCTGCAGGTGCGTCCAGGTAGCGGAGTTGTTTTTAAAATGGTTGTCGAATTTATAGCACGTTTGAAAACAAATTTCGAATGGTTAGGTTGCTGAGAAATCTTAAAACTAAGATGGGTTGTAAATTTGTATTTATGCTTTAAATGACTGAGATGAAAATGATACATTTTTCTGAAACCTACGTCCCCTTTAACATGCATGGTTGCATATGGCTGCTTAGTTCTTAGCAGTATTATTGTACCTCATACAATGCCCTGGTTCCTCATGCTCATTCTGTTTTTTTAGACTCAGCCTCCTTCTCCGTCTCTTCTCAAAGATGCAGAAAATGAACAATCTTCTGAACAGCACCCCCCTGAAGCTGGACAGGTGGTATGTAAGAAGATGTTAGTAGATATGTTAGTTTTTTTTTTTTTTTTGTTTTTTTTTTTTTGGGGGGGGGGGGGGGCTACAGGAATGAAGCAGTCGTAACTGACGTCTCGATACACAGTGTTATCATGCAATCATGTATTATGTCACGAACCTGCTTTATACTGTTGAACCTCCATTGAACAGCAGCTGCTCTGTTGGAGTCCATTAATAACCGACCTAAGGAGTGGAAGGTGTAGTAACGTTAGCATTATTTGATTTTGATCTTTCTTGAACGTTTTGGATCTTCCTTGGTGTTAACAACCCCTCCCCCTCCTTACTAATGCAGCACCACACTTTCTTTGGAGACTTACCCCCTTTATTCAGTTTGTTGTTGGTAAACAACCCCTACCTTACATGGTGGCTTATTCCAAGTTAGCTCTGATCACGTTACGCGTGTAGGAAAATAATGTTTTTTTGGAATATAATTTTCTCTCATGAGTCAGCACATTTACCGTAGCTGTTGACTTTAAAAAAAAATCTTCATCGTTATTAGGCTTCAGGAAGACACGCATTGTTAAACGACTTGCGGAAGAAAGAAACTCGTCGTTCACTGAAGAAAGTCTCCTCTCGGATAGAACCACCAAGGAAGCCGCTCCCAGGCATTCCCGACAGGCCAGAGAGTCCTCGTCGTCCCCCGCCTTCTCCGCGCGCTTCCCATACCCCGAGATTTATGGCTGAGTCTCGTTCCCCGCTGCCTCGCAAGAGAGTTAGTAGTCCGTTTAGGCCTGTAATCCAAACTGAGAATAGACGAGCTTATTCTGCGTTTGAAATGAAACCACCAGCCAAGCCCTTACCTCCAGCTCCAAGATCTAAAAGCCCCCTTCCTACACGAAAAATATCGTTGCCAGCTCAATTCAATCAAGAAAGTGACGTCACAGTCAAGTTTCAGTTGGTTCTCACGCGATCTGTTAAAGTGGGCCAATCAGCCTCGGCCCAGGACCTTTTGAGAGCTGCGGCCAATACTTTTCAAATGTCCGAGGATTCCTTTGAATTATGGTAAGACAATTGATGTTATAGATTTACTATAATTTGTAAGTTGCCGACAAATTTTTGTATTTTGTATGTTAGCGTATTTTTGTATGCGTTCCACATACATAGCCTCTTGTAAAGTCCTTAAAAATTATTGAGGTTCAGTGTCCAGAGACGAAAATTTAGAAAATGTTGTGGGTTGGGCGAAGAAAATTTTATGGAACAGAAAATAGCGCCAAAATATGTTATTTTTTGAAGAAAAAAATCCATGCAGTATCCATTCAGACTCTGTTCTGAACGAAAAAAAATTAGGTGGGAGAAAAAATTGACAAAAATAATTGTATATCTGAAAGTCATTAGTTCTTTCTCCATCAAGACGATTCTAATAAATAAATCCATTCCTCACCTATAGTTCCCATTTGTTTTTTACTGGTGAGTCGCTCGATCCTATTCCCGTGAAGTTGAAGGGTTAAGATATGGGACTGGTAACTGTTAGAAAAATTGAACAGTTATCAAAGATTTATAAAATTCTAGGTTTTTGGTTAATTTTATTCAGGTACATGAAGGACGACCAGCTCAGCTCTCTCCATAATCAGAATGTGGAAGAAATACTCCGGTCGTCAACAGTCCAAACGGTGTTCTGTTACGAAAACAAACCTGAGTGAAAAAGCTTTTTCATTGTCATTTACGTCAGCTAATTGATCACTCTGTCTGATATTATTCATTTTCAAAGAATCGAGACAGTTATTTAAGTTACTTACTACTTTCATTAAATTACTCAAAGGGCGAGTCACTGTAGTATCGATCATTACTTACATGCACGAGGTACACACATTTTCTCTTTTATGACTGGTTAATTTGAAGTCATGTTTTATGCACCACACCAGACAGAAGTACGCTTTCACTTAAGGAATCTCATTGGCGAGATAAGTTGTTCGATAGCTCATAAAGACGCTTTAAACTTTTCGGTTATCGAGGGAGTAAACTCGAAAAGTTTGAACATCACTCGCGACCAGCTCGTGATTTACAAACTTTGCGCGTATTCTCTCAATATCCCGTGTGAGTTAGCACGCCAGTAAACGTATAGAAAGTGCGGTCTATTTCTGAAATGGACCAGTAAAAAGGTTTCACATAAGTGTTCTGTAGAGAACTTGACTTTCGCGTATCAGTTTCTGTGAGCTTTAAAAGATGACTTTCACTCCGTTCAATCCACAAACCCAGATAATTTATATTTAGATCAGACTAGTTAGATTTCTAACAGTTTACAAAAAGCTTGGAGTTGGTTGGGTCTAATTGTTTTCTTTGTTCTAACTAATTCAGGTGAAGCGGCAATAGGTGTTTTAGTTAACTAAATACTTCGCAGCTGTTGCTTTGGATGCAACGCAACTCTTCCTTGAAAGAATTCTTGAAAATTCATCAAGTGGAAGTAAGGTTTTTTTTAGCTTGTTTGTTTGTCTTTTGTTGCTTTTTTCCTGGAATGTATAATTTCTCCTGATCACGTGAGTGCTCACCAGTAATTTTTCGCCTTATTTGTAGAGTTATTTAAAAGTATATAATGAGATGTGACAAAGTGCAGTTCATGTGAATCGTTCGCGTTTCTCTGTGGTAACCTCTATGTAATGCCACTAATAAGGGTGTATTTTTCTTGAAAATGAAATCAATCGAGAGTAAATCAGTAGCAGTATGAATTTTTAAAATCTTCTTGTACAATAAATATTTTTAGACGATTAAATGATTTAAATTCATTTATTACCAAGGTGTAGGAAATAAACAAATCTGAGACAGTGGAGGTTCTTCATCTGTTAATCTGAATATTATATATTTTTATTTTTGTTTCTTCCAATTTGTTTCCCTTGATGTCTCCAATTAAGAGGTACTGTCTAACCCCTGTTTGGGGTTTTATTGATTTCGAGGATGTCTCAGTATTGAGCAACATCATGCTCATCTTATTTCTTTGCTGTCTTGGCGACCTACGCGTGTTTTATTTTGCGACTTCGTTCTTGTAAAGATGCTCCAAAAAATGTTTTACGAAATTTAAAACAAACTCCGTTAGCTGGCTTCGATGAGCGATTTTCTTGCATAGAGCGTCAGGACCAACAGAGGATCTTATGCCGATAAGGTAACCTCTCTAACTCGCCAGGGAGCCAATCAGAGCACAGGATTGTTTGAATGTTCTAGCATCAAATAGTTTCAATTTTGGCTATGTTAAGAGAGCTGCATGCTGCTGCGAGATATAGATCGACAGTCTCTAGGTGCTCCTCGTATATTTCTCGCACAATGACTTTTTCGTCGAGTCAAGTCAATCTTGAGAAGCGGCTGAAATAAAAGGGGCTGGGAAGCTTTCACAGAAACTAAATGAAATATAATAAAATCTCTGAAACTATTTGTCAGAATCTTAAGTCCTCTCGAGAAAATTTGGTTTTTGATGAGCGTGATAACCGAGAACAATCGACTGACTAAATGACCCAAATACGCCACACTCAGAAGTGACAAATGATAAAGAGCATCATTATATTCAGGGGCAATCCAAACAAACATGGCGTGTGAGTAAATTGAATCTGTTATATTGGGCGGATCATTTCATTTACTACCAATACTCAACATGAAAAAACTCACCACAACGTTGAAATCTTCTTGGTAATTTTTGTTGATCGCAATAGTTAATGAAAGGGATCGAGGCCTGTTAACTATGCGTCCCTTTTACAAAAATGTTATAAACACGTTTTGTCTTGTTTATGACCCAATTTTCTCGTCAATGAATAAATAAAAGGAAAAAAACAAATGAACCTGATCGACCTTTGGGCCAAAAATTATGCTGGAGTATTTTTTAATACGTCAGAGCGATTAGGACATCACTTGTTTATCTAACACAAATCATACCCTGCAGTTCCTTGAATGCGTCATTGTAAGCTCTTTAACCAACAAGTACGCGGATAGCGTGTATATCTTTCTTCTGTGGGCGGTTGATGGCGTGATGAGAGCTGGGGCGGCGTTGGAGCCATTTGTTAGGCGTTTCCGCCTAAAGCAACCTCAAAACTGCCCACTGAGAGCAGACGAAGTCGTATGTAACGATATTTGTTCTTAAAGTTTTTAAGTGAGCCCACGTACTCCCATGAAAACTGCTACTGCTCTTGACGCAATGGAAGAAAAGATTTACATCCAGTTAGTTGCTTTAAACCCAAATACCTGAGTGATGCAGTATTTGATGTCACCGTGATTAATTTAGCCTCAGGCTTTTAGGTATTTTTAGTATACCTATTATACTTCAGATGGCAATTGAGACGAGACGTGATTTTTCCGCAAAAAAAAAAAATTTTTGATTGATTTCGATCCAGCAATATTGACAAATGACTCTTTGAGAAATTTTCCGTGTTTATTTCGTCGAAGTTTTTAGTGAAAACAATAAAGGGCGAATAGCACGTGATAATATTACATTGAGTAATTATCATTTTCATCCAGGCCACATGTTACTTTGCATTTAGATTTAAACAGGTTTTTTTCTTTGCATTTGAACTGTGAGACTGTGGGGAACGTCTTTATGTACTTTTTTTTTTTTTTTTTAATGAAATCGGAAATTAGGGTATCAAAGTTTTATTTTCCTTTCCGGACTGTAATGTTGTTTTCATCTCGCAAACGAATTTAAAACCGCCGTCAAGCTTAATTAGCTTCAGTGAGTTGACCTTTCCTTCAGACAGTTTTGTTGGATATTTAATCACGCAAGCCACAGCCTTTGGATCAGTAGACCTTCAGTTCAGCCCATTGATATCTATAAGGCATTTTATCTACCGTGCAAAAACTTCGGAAACTTGAGTAGCCAGATTTAGGTAAGTGGTTTTTTTGTGTGGCTAAGTTACATCTGAGACGCATGTAAGTTACTCAAACTCCAAACAGGGTCGATCTTTGCTGTCTGTCAAAGATTTTTTCTTTTAGAATTTTATCAGGAAAAAGAGGTTTAACAACTGATATTGGTGAATCTGCGGGGAGGCTACTTGCAGTTTTACCTAGGGCCCGCTTCTGAACGTCTGGGTAACGATTTATTATCAACGACACTTATTTAAGCATTAATGATATGATATGCTTCCCTTCATCGGTAAGTGCAAGCGGCAAGAGGTTGATGGCAACGGTAAACAACAACAAAAATAAAATGTCGTTATACTCAATTTTCTTCTTGTCCCTAAGCTAAAACCTTAAGAGATCTTTTAGATAGGTTTTCACAGTCATCAGTTACGTTTTTACTCACCTCTACAGAAAGCTGGGAGCAGCACAGGTGGCCCAAGCTCTAGCTGTGAGATGATCGTCTTGCGAAATACGAGTCATGGCGAAATTCTAAGAGTTTGCATGGGAAACATGGGCTTTTCTTATGTACGTAGTAAACCTAGAAATGGATAACTCGCTGAAATGGCTTATTTTCAACATAGTAGGCGCTCAGCTCGCATGCGATGCGCTGTGGACGTCAGGTGAGGTATTTTTTTTATTGAGAATCTGACTGTATCTTTTATTCCTAAGAACGGTCGTAAATATTCCCATTAAAACTCCTAGAATTTCGCAATGACTCTAGCAAGATGATCATCATACAGCTGGAGCCTGGGCCGCCTGAGGGGGCAGCAGCTAACAAGTTCAAATGTACGCGCTTCAAGCAAATATTCGTTTGGGCAAAGCACTTACTTGCTTATAAAATTAAAAGGTAGACATGAACTGCTATGAAAATAAAGAATGCAAGACTGGCAGTGAAATTATATTCACATTCATCCAATAAATTGAAAAATTCAAGTGGCAAAATTGCAAACTTGACGTGGCCGAAAGAATTTAGCCCAGTTAGGTTTGTGTGGTATTGATCTTCATTGATAGACCTGGCCATGACAAAACTAAGTGAACTAATGTTAAAAAATTGGATCAATTTAATTAAGTGGCTTGGATCTTCGCTGGGAAATAGCAATGGTATTCAAACAGTTTTCATCAAAAGTTTTTTGACAGATAAATTTGAGATTTCGCGCGTATTCAAGGACATTTTAAACCCGTTGATTTAGGTTGTTAATTTTCTCTTATGGAAACTAGAAGGGCCAGATACCATAATGTCACCTCCCCCTTCCACGCTTTGCCATAACCCATGATATAAATTCTATCTCGTATAGAGCGCATTGTAACATTCTGTCTCTCCATCTTAGTCTACTTTTTCTCTGGTCTGAAAAATAGTTTAGGGTTTGTTGGTGAGAGATGGCTTAATTTTTCTACTTGTGTGTCATCAGATGTATTAGAACGAGTTCTAACACCTCTTCTTACCCCCTCATCAAACCAGAGAACTGAAACGTTCTCTTAAAAAGGAAAAATATTTTTAACGTCCCCCGTTCGTTTGGCACCCAGCTTTGTGTCAGTATGGGGGACATGTCCATGGTGAAGACTTTGCAGATTTGGAAAGATGGCGTGACTTTCATGGAGAAGGGCAACTATGAGGAGGCACTGACAAACTTTGTGGCTCTAGAAGGAAGGACTGACTCTTCTCAACAACTGATCACTTCAGGCAGAAATCTGTTTAACATTGGACAGATGTATCGAGCTCTTGATAGAATGGAGATGGCAGCAAAGGTAGATATTATATATACCATTTAACCCCTAGTCATGTCTCACAGTTGCTAATTACTTCATTTAAGGTACAAGAATGCAATTATGTCTAGAATGATGTTACCATTGAACAATTTCTTCTCACCATCAGACCTTTGAGGAGTCCATAGGAAAAGACAAAATGTCGGCAGTTACTCATTTCCTGCTGGGAAACACCAACTTGGTTTTGAACAGGTAAGGAACAGTTATCCATGCTCTCTCTCATTTTGGCTGTGTTATCGAACATGGAAGCTTAGTTTAAAGTCCACCTAACACTAGTGTAATTCTCGCCAGACATGATGTTCGTTGCAGTATCGAGGGTTTCCACAAATACGTTAGAACGCTTCCCTACGGATGATTCTGCCTTTTACACTTTATTATCCTCTCTATTGAGACACATCGATTTCTTGCCAGCCGACCTAAGGGTTCTTACGTCTTGAAATTAACAGGGGAGCAGACAAATTATTATATTTGCAAGCAGTATCGCAAGTAATAGAAATCGGATGTCTTAAAAGCACAGGTGAATAGCATTATTAAATTTTTTGTTCCATCAGAAATGACGAGGCACTGAAGAACTTTAATGATGCTCATTTATTTCTTCGTGGAAACAAAGTGATAAATTATTATCAGTTAGGTTTAAAAGCCAAACTTTACTTGTGTGAGGTAAGCTGTTTAGACTTTCTCTTATATTCTTCACAACCATACGCACCTTTCCTTGAAAAGCCTTATTCTTTGTTTGAAGTGGTTCATCGTCTTGTTGTTTCATATTCTTTTTTATCAACATCGTTACTGTACTTACCTTTTTTTTTTTTTTTGATTTGTAGATTCTAGTCAACCGGGCCATTACTCAATCCAGACTAGCTGATGCTCAAGAAGCCAAAAATGATTTTTTAAAGGCTCTTCAAGCTAAGGTTGAACCTCGTCATCGTGCAATTGACGACCTCCTTGATTCCTGGCAGGTGGGACTGTACAGCTGTGAACTGTTTCACTAGATCCGAAGAAGAACCTTGTTGATTTACTTAGCAAGTTATTGATCGACCTCATAACGTATTGAACAGCAGAATGACTTGCTTATTCATCTCCTGATTATGACTGAATTGCTGACGAACCAATTGTCTGACTTACCGATTGAAGACCTCATTGAGTGACCGACTGACCGACTGGCGAACAGACCGACCAACCAACCAGACAATTGGCTTGCGAGCAGACTGACCAATTAATCGGCTGGTTAACTGGCGAACAGACTGACCAAACAACCAGCTAATTGGCTGACGAACAGACAGACCAAAATGACGCACAGAATGACCAACCAACCGGCTGTTTGACTGGCGAACAGACTGACCAACCAACCGGCTGGTTAACTGGCGAACATACTGACCAAACAACTGGCTGGTTGACTGGCTGTCGAACTGACTCACTTCTCGTCTGACTGACCATCTGGCTCTCTTATTAAGCCGCAAACCGACCAATTCTCAATAATGAATGCTTAGCTGACTGTTGAACCTCCAATGATCCTGAGTTTGAGTTTGGTTTTTGTTTCTGCAGTCTGGAAAAGAAGTGGAGCCTTTTCAGTTACCCTCTTGCGTTGTATATCAACCACAAAAACGTCAAATCGATGCTATTAACAAGACACAAAATTTTTTGGGCCACTCCAAGGTACTATTTATTAAGGGTTTGATGCCAACATGTAACAATAAATTAATTCTCTTTTGAAGTTTTTGTTTATTGAATCTCTTCTCTTTTTGTTTTATGATTGGTTTGCACATATTTCTTTATTTTCTTTATATTTGTGTGGTTTTTATGCAAATTTCCTATTTAGGTTGTTGTACAAAGTGAAATTACCAGGTTTCCTGATTCACGTCCAGAATCAACAAAGGTAACTCTCCAACAGATAATTGTTAATAATATCACTGGAAGGTCTTCATGAATTATCGTGTTTAGTTTCAGCGAAATCATTGTTTTCAAATATGAAGAGCTTGGTTGCCACTCTTTCGAATGTTTTGAGACACAAGCTTACAAGCTTGCATAATTACACTTGCATAATTACACCTCATATGTAATTTTTAAACTAATCTTCGTTCACCGAAGAGTCCTTCCAAAGATGTGGGAGATGAACAACATTTGGAACAGCACCAGCCTCCAGCTGACCAGGCGGTATGTAACAACATGATAATATAGAAAACAACCACTTTCAAAGTTAGAAACGAGCGATGCGTTTCTATATCTTGACTGCTTTTATACATGAAAAGGTGGAACATCGGTGATACGCTTTTTGTTTTAGACATCAAAAGGACATGCTCAGCCAAACAGAATCCAAGGAAAAGAATCAAACAGCGTTCTGAGAGACGCTTCCAGTAAAGCAAAGGCCGAAAAAAACCCTTCTCCAGGCCACCTTCAGAGCCCGGTCAGTCCAAGTCAATCTCCAGCTTCACCTGGGGATTCTTCTACAGGAGGCTCTAGGATCGGAAATCGTTCACCTTTTACCCAGAGAAGAAAAATGGGGGACTTTTCACCCAAGACACCACCGTGGTCTTCAACTGAAGTAGACGCGCCTCCGACAAAACCCCTCCCTCCGGCTCCTACAGCCAGAAAGTCAGACTTGACATCAAACAAAACACGTGACGTCACACTGATTCTCACGCGATCTGTTAAAGTAGACCAATCAGCCTCGGCTCAGGACCTTTTGAGAACCGCGGCCAATACTTTCCAATTGTCCGAGGATTCATTTGCATTGTGGTAAGACAATTGATGTTGTTTCTACTATGAATTTGATGTTCTGTTCATCTCAAACGCTTTGTTGTTTGATTGGTTTCTCAAAGGAATCAAGATTGGTGCGTAGAGAATTCGGAAAAAATGACGTAAGTTGGAATTAAGGTGACGGGAAAAGAAGAGACTAACAGAATAGAATCACTGATTCATTCTGCACATTTCCTTATCAATAATTTTAAACTAACACAGATTCCGCTTTGAGGAGGCCGAGTCTGACATTCAATAGAAATAGTTAAAAGAAGTGCTGAATAGATTAAACCCAACAATATTCCGTTTTCTCCAGGAGCATGAAGAACACACAGCTCACAGTTCTACAAGATCAGGATCTGGAAGAAATTCTCCACTCGCCATCAGACAGCAGCCCAAAAGTTTACTGTTACCTAAATAAGCCGAAGTAGATAACATTTGACTGCAGTTTACACTAAGTTGGCTGCTCTCTCAAGCGTCTGATGAACAATATAATATTCTTATATTTGTTGAATGATTGGAATTTGTTATGATCTATAAAAGTAGTTGCACCGAATGGCAGTCTAGCTGGTTAAATAATTTTGGAATGCTCTTGCTATGGTTGTAATCTTTAAATCGAGCGATGTATATATTTTACCTTAACGATCAAGAGAAAAGGGACCAAATTGGTCGGCAGCGTGATTTTTGCGCGGCTTGCAAAGCGGAAAAGAGTACGTCAAAATCGGTAACCGAGTGTGAAATAAGTACTTCAAACAAGGAGGCGGACGGTAGAAATAAACATGAAACATTTTCCCAGTAAATCTTTTTCATAAATTTGGATTTATGGCCATGAAGATGGTGTTACAAATTGACCTTTTTACTCTTAATTTTATCGTCATCTTTCACGAGATAAAAGCTACAACACTGCTCCTCAAATGTTATTAAAGCAAAATGCAAATGATAGGTTTTCAAGCTTCACTAAGTCACTGGCTCCAATCAACAGCCTCCTCTTGGACTTTTTGTTATTTCAATATCAAGAGGTCTTTCCACGTCAAGTTGTTCTTACGACAAAGTTGCACGTACATGTTTGCTTCGTAAGAACTTAGCTACTGCTGAGACAGCTTTTAAAAGAAAGGTAGTTTGGAACATTCGGTAAGCAATAAGTCTGCATTTGTATGATGACACAGAACCTAACTGAATTTCTATTTAAGTATCACCATAATGGCATTGATTTGCCTTTGGCCTGATTATGTTCCTTTAGTTCTTAAATATCATGCAATGCACTTTGTTGTTCCTTCTTCTGACTTCTTCCTTATCTGCTAAAAATAACGGAACAACAGAGTCGGCAGGTCTTTGACCTGAAAATAGCTTCTGTAAGAGACATTTTATGTTTTCAAATGCAAATGCAAAGCACAGTTTTTTAATTCCATGGCACAATGCGCTTGTTTAATAACGCTTTCGAGATATTTTTAGGCAGATTTATGAAATCGTTTTTGTTAGTACCGTCGCGACATAAAATTGGACGCAAGTATTAATAGTGATTGACTCGGGTCACTCACAGAGGGAGGAGATAAATGAGTTAACAAGAAATCAACATTTGAACGTATTCGATCAATGGCACGTAATGACGATCAAAAAAGGAAATACGAATTTCTGGCATATTACTGACTTTCCATTTTTTTGATAAATTACGTCAAATTATATAAAGGATCTTGAACAAATAATCATAAGAATTCACCTTTTTTATGTCGTATAATTGATAAATCGAAAATTCCTTTCATTATTGAAAGGGAACCTGAATTTCCCACAGCGCTGATTATTCATTCATCTACATCCGCAAAGTATAAACGTGCGTCAGTCAACGCAGAAACATCCCACTTGTATACACACCCTGTTCTCGACTTCCGCTCTGTAAATAATAAATTTGCTTTCAGTCGTCAAACAAATTTTCGGGTGCACTCAAAGTTCAATCAAATTCACCAACTCGGCTAAAATCCAGTCAAGCTGAAGACAAAGTGAGGTGAGCACAACTTCATCCATTTAATTTACTTTGTCATGGAGCCACTAGTAGTCCGATGGACTGATTAGAAATGTAATGTATGTCCAGTGGAAATAAGAGCATCCTTGGATATATTTAATCTAGATTAAAACTGAGGCGGTGAGCGATGAGGGATTCCGGGAACAATTCAATATTAAAACAAAGGTGATGTAGTTTATATTGGAAGCCCTTTGGTCGTCTGTATTCACACAATGTTACTACATAATTATTAGTCAGTTCAAAGTGATTGGAAGTAATGCGCGATCAAGAAAGATAACTCATGATAAGGAGATCCATCGGGTTTCCTCAGCAATCGCCTCTACTAATAATGCCTGGATGATCACTCAATTAGTTAGTGTTTCGCTGTTGCTTTTGTTGTAGTGTTCTGATTGACGCCAGGAAAGCAGTGTTCAGCATTTTATTTTTGCGTCTCATTTCTTAAAATTCATTTGGACATGAAGGAGATGTCCACGGTAGAAATATTGAAGATTTGGAAAGATGGCGTGACTTTTATGGAGAAGGGCAACTACGAAGAGGCACTAAAAAACTTTATGGCTCTAGAAGGAAGGACTGATTCTTCACAGCAACTGATCACTTCGGGCAGAAATCTGTTTAACATTGGACAAATGTATCTGGCCCTTGGAAGAATGGAAATGGCCGCACAGGTGTGACAAATTACCGGAGTGTGCATGTTTCTTTTGTTAAGTAGATGATCTAACAATGATTATTATGATCTACTCCATTTCTATAAGGCATTTGAAGAGTCAATAGCAAAAGACCCAATGATGGCGATCGCCCATTATACCTTGGGAAGCGTCAATTTGGCTTTAGATAGGTGAGGAAGATTTGAAGTTTGCTGCTATATATTGTTTAACTTGGTTACTTGTCAACCTTATAAAGAATCTAAGCAAGATTATTGTGCTGTTTCAAATAAAAAATGAAAGCAAAACTCTTTCATCTACAACGGTAAAATTTGATGTAAAATACAAGGTAACTTGCCTCAGATAATCAAAATGATAACCTTATTATCGAATGTAAGTGGTCATCACCTGCCCGAATTGAGCGCCAGTAGGACATATCATGCGTTGTATATGGTCACCGAGCATTTCGCCACTTCAACAATTGTTCTTGTTTTTTTTTCTTCTTTCAAGTGGAAACTTCTAAGTTATGGCTAGTTTTTTTTCTCAGATTTTGTCATAGTTTTGACTGATTGGTAATAGGACTTCGTCAAATTTTGCCTGTAATCATTCTCCTGATTAACAATCGGACTCCTGCTTCGCGGTCGTCCGATTTCGTTGATTACCGATCCAACTGTACTCGACTCAGACTTATTACCATTATTTGTATTGCAATTCAACCATTTTTTTTTTCATTGCTTCAGAAATGAAAGAGCCTTAAGGAACTTTAGTGACGCTGCTTTATTTCTTCGTGGAAACAAATTGATAAAGTATGATCAATTAGGCTTGAAGGTTAACCTTTACTTATGTGAGGTAGGCTTTCAATTTTATTTTTGTTGTTATTATTATTATTTCTCATTGCTGAACCTGTCCTAACTGACAAAAACGTGACACACTCGTCATCTTTCGTTTTCCTCCACACAATTCTCGGGTGCTCGTGTTCATTCAGTCTAATGAGTGTGTTTTATACCTGTTCAAATTACCTAGGACATCTCTCCAGTTTACAAATAGTGTTTTTGTTTTGGGTGTGTAGGTTCTAGCTAACAGGGCCGTTGCTCAGTCCAGATTAAAGAATGCCGAAGAAGCCAAGAATGATTTTTTGATGGCCTTACAATTCAAGATGGAGCCACGACAAAGCGTCATTCAGGACCTTCTTCTTTGCTGGCAGGTTAGCGAGACATGTATATTTCAGTGACAAGAAATGAAAGTTACATCTGACAGCTTTTAGTTAATGTGACCGCAATCTTGGTAAAACATAATAGTATAAAGTAACATATCAACAGTATAAATTCTCATATGACCAACCAATCATCTTTTCAACCAACCACCAAAGAATTTAACCAATCTTCTCAAAGAGAAAAACCAGTAATTCCTACTGGTAAAGAACTTAATCTTTCAACAAATCAAATAAACTACTGGGAAAAGGAGAGAATAACTATGCCACTCGCAAAATATTAACCATAAAAAAATTGAAAACCAACTGATCATGCTTTCCCGACTGACTGGCGGCAGGACGAATCAGGTTAATCAGAACTTCTACCAGAATGACTGACTCACCAAGAGCTGGCAAACACCATATAGCTGATCCCAAAATTCACGGAGATGTTTATTTTCTTTTTCATCTTTTTCATTTCAGTCTGGAAAGAGTGTAGAGCCTCTTAAGATGCCATCGCCATCTGTTTTCAAACCTTCAAAAGGAGCCACTGATGCTATAAACAAAGAACATAAATTCATGGAGAAATCCAAGGTTCGTAGGTCGTCTGAACAATATTGTAAATAAGCCACGTTAAAGTGTTTCTAAAGCTAACGTTTTAAGCCTTTACATTACTAACTCAGTTGATAAGACCAAATTATTTTGTAATATTCCGCGCTGACTCGGCACCACAGTTTCTTTTTAGAAAATTACCCCCTATATGAATTATATTTGCTTGCTAGAATGTCACAAATGGATGCTGATCCACGGTTTATAGTGAAATGGGTTATTGTTGCCTTCAGGTCGTTGCTGAGGTTCAAGTTAGAAGTTTCCCTGGCCCACGAACTACACCAGCTAGGGTAAATTACCACACAAACTCTCCAAATAGAATATATATATATAGCACTGTTTTACGAAAGTCCAAATTTTACACTATATACATATATATACATATATATATATACACACACACACACATATATATATATATATATATACATATATATTTATTAATGTATGTATAGATAGATTGATACCTGACATATTATTGATAATTCTGAAAGTTCTATTCCATTTCTTTAGTTTTGTTTGCTTTGATTGCTTCCTGTGGAAAGAGAGATGTCACAGAGAGCTTAAACAATAAATATAAGGGCATATAAAAATGTCTAATTTTTTAGAAGGGGAAATATTCGGGTGCCTTCCGTTGAAAAAATTATTTCTGGCCTGGATCCTGGTAGTGGTGAGGGGTCATTCAGTGGAGGAGCTGCAACACTTAACTGTCTGCGAAAGAGAGGAGGGCAGTAGTACAATTGCGGCTGAGCTAATTTCTGTTTTGTTTCAACCTCATTGCAGCCCCAACCGACTCGTTCCCCACCTCGTTCTCCGAATCTCTCAAAAGCTGTGGCAGATGAATCTCTTTCCGAACAGCACCTCCCTCAAGCAGCTTATGTGGTCAGTAACAACGTAATAACGTAGGACCCTCAATATCACAGAATTAGAAAGGAATTCAGTGCTGAATTCATTTTACTGGATTGTTGTTCTGGTCAATTACTTAAGACATCGGTTGGGGTAATTTGCGATGAAACACTATAAGCTATGAATGAAAACACAGTGCTGAATTTTAGTTGATAAGTCACGGAAATGATATGAAATGATAAACCTGGATGCCCTCTGGAAATTCCTTGCAACAGCAAAGATCCGTCAGATCCACATCCGTCTCAGTACTCAGGTCTTGTGCTGGAAATTTATCTTCACTATCCTCGCTTCTGGTAAATGCAACATGGTTTGTTTATCTTAGAACTGCTTGACTGCACATACTCAAAAAAAAAATAAAAAAAAACAAAGAAAACAGAAACAAAAAAAAGAGAGAAAAAGAAAGCATAAACAGAACAAAACAATATTACTTTTTTTTATTTTGACCTCGCCCTTAGAAATCCACAAGAGATGCACTGCTAAACGACTTACGGAAAAACGAAACAGTCGCATCTGGGAAGGAACCTCCCAATAAACCGCTCCCCGTTGTACCTGACTTTGTAGACAGCCCTCAACAGTCGCCGCGTGCTTCTCCTACTCCGAGATTTCCGAGAACTGATTCTGGATATCTTTCACCCCGATCTTCAACAAAGAGTTCAAAGAGTGGATCTAGGCCAGTAACTCCACCGGAAAATTCCCGACCACGGACTCCTGTTGAAATGGGACCTCCCTCCAAGCCCCTCCCGCCTACCCCAAGATCAAAAAGCCTAAGCCCCATTCCATCGCAAGTGCCCGCTGAGCCTAGAAAAACACGTGACGTCGAATTGGTTTTCACACAATCTATTAAGGTGGACGAGTCAGTTTCAACCGTGGAACTTTTGAAAGAGGCAGCTGCTGCTTTCAAGCTACCTGAAAATTCATTTGCACTTTGGTAAGGCAATTACCGTGGTAACTAATTTTTTGTCGTAGTCATATAGCGTCGGAGAGTCAACCTTGTATAAACCCATTTTTTTCCTTTTACAGGTGCATGAAGGACAACCAGCTCACAGTTCTACAAGATCAGGATCTGGAAGAAATCCTCCGCTCATCGTCAAACAACAGTCCTCAAGTTTTCTGCTACGAAAACAAACCAGAGTGAATGAGTTTCGACTCGAATTTTCAATAGCGGAGGGGCTTTGATCGATACATGCCTCGTGGAGAGTCCGTTTTAGAAGAACAAGTAAAAACTTTGCGCTGAACTCACTGACTTGTTTTGATCTCACTGATATAGAAATACAGATCTCGAAACCCTGACTAAACTGGAGAGCTCTTTTTGTTTCTCCCTATCATCACAAACGTAAAACCCCATACGCGGCGAGGGTGGATAAAATGATTACGTTGAATAAGTCTTCGTGAGGCTATGGCTTTACTAAAACCACTCTGTACTTTTTTGCTTTTTTTTTGGTTTTTTAGTTTTAGGTTTCGTTTGTTTCTTATTCAATAATAAAACACAAATAATGGAGGTCCAGAGTATCTCTCCAATTTATATTATTTTTATTGATGGATTTTGTGTCTGCTGTCCCTATATATCTGGCACTTTGAATATGTATGAGCAAAAGAACTGCCTCTACCCTGCCTCCTAAATACTGGTGACGATATGGTTGCGTGACAATCCAGTAACAATCCAGTAACGAGTATGGTGACACGATGAAATAACCGGGGATACCGGTAGACTGTTGTCACAGCATTTGTCGCAGAAATTATGGGACGTTTGGTTTACTGACAAGCAAGTAACTTTTGGTGGGTGCAGTGGCGGTGAAAAGTAAGGAAGGCGGGTCAAAATCTGTATTTGAGAGGTAATCGGAGATGGCAACGAACATACCGAAAGTTCCAACTTATTCTCGAAAACAACGCCGAAATGACGACTCAAGTTGGTTTCTACGGACATAAAGGTAGGAAATTTAAAAATATTTCTTAATATTTCTTATTTAAACTGCATTTAGGTCAAAACACGTGGTGCCATCTGAAATAAACCGTTAACTAACCATTGAGACTTCGAAAAGTCCTCGCGTTGCACAAATTAATTTAGCCAAAAACTTTTAACAGGAATGTGCAGAAAATATTACCTGAAGCTTGATTAATTTGAAGATTTTGCATAGGATGAAAGTTAATTTTGTTTTGGAGCGTCAGTGAAATGCATGTTTGCTTAATTAAGCTTAGTGGTAAACAGTCCTATATAATAGAGTTGTCCAGCTCCTCCTAAAATCAATCCAGTGTTTATTTGGAGATTATGAAAGGTGGGTTGAGTGCTTTGAAGGTAGTAGAATTATTTATTTCCCTTAGCGGAGCTGTCATATACTTTTGGAGTGTTTTAGCAAAGAATACCATCCGGATTTCTATTATTTGGATTTTTCTTTGAAACGAGCCGCATATCTGCTTTTTGCCAACGCCTGCAAATGGTGAAATGTTGGCACAGTCTTTATTCAATTTTCATTTTATTCCACGTGAAAATGTTACATGCATTTGAAACTTGTCATGTGCAAAGCATCAGAAAAGCAGTTGAATAGCTGTGAGAAGAAATATTTTCCAAACAATGTCTATGTACGCCTTTTAATTCGAGTTACTTGGATGACTGTTCGTTCAAGCCACAATTTATATATTTTTCCATTTATTTTCTTAACAAATACAGTTTTGCAAGTTCTCTGTGTCTTTTTCAATATTTAAAACACCTTTTAACCTATCAAGCAATTGGGCAGTCATTTGAATAACTTGTTTACACGACAAACCAAACTCCATATGACAGTTTTCTTAGGAAAGAGGCCGAGATACGTGAGTTCGCCACTAAAAGTGACCTGTTTTTTATGAATGGTTGCGTTAAAAGATGACAATTGATTTGAAATTATAAATTCTCGAATATGCTTTATTTTCCTCTAAAAATGAAACTCTTGGCTTGCTCTATCGTGTCTTGGCGACGCTTTCACTGGACCGAGGGTTCCCTCGGTCATATGTACTCGTACGTGCTGGTTTAACAAAGCAGCGCTGGCAAAGGCGCTTGCGCAATAGCCACATCTGAAAGGCCTTTCATTAACATGTGTCTCCATGTGTGTACGGTACTCTAGGGGATGAGAAAACGATTGGTTACAGTGCGAACAAGTCAAGTTCTTCCCTCCATTGATACCATTACAATGATGCACTTCAAGTTGTTCTCGATTTGTAAATGCTTTAAAGCACTGGTTGCACCTCCAGGTAAAATCGTCTGCTGGATCAAAACGCGCAGGCGTCCTGGTTTGTTGTTTGTACCCGTAGCCTCGTCCGCGATACGAGGTTGTTCTTCTATCCTCGGTCAGCATCACGTGATCTTGCTCTGATTTGCTCGATTCGGCAGGTTCATTTCTTCGCAAGGGAGGCCGGCCCCTTTGTGCTGGTGCATGGTCTGTAAGATTTCTCCTGGCCCCTGGCTCAATTGTTTCGTTTTTATCCGCTCTGGCCCGAGACCTTTCTTGGGCGACCAGATCCCGAGGGGGGTGGACCCCTGTTGATAGACATTGGATTTAAGTCACTTAACTACCAAATCAGAATGACGTGGAGGAAAGTGTGGGTGTAGTAAAAGAGTTGCAGGTGCCCATTACACTTTCCACCACGGTCATAGAAACACTCACCTCTACTTCCAGAATCACTGAGTGCCACAGGAACCCCCATGAATTGTGAATATCTTGTATCGTACCACACTAGCAGCTCCTGCCCAGGTAGAATCTCTCGGATTGTCCTGTAATAGACACAGCCATGATATTGAAATACCACCATGTTCTGTTCTTTCTTGTGTCGAGCGCAGCGAACAAACCGCATCCAGCTGGAATTAGCTTCATCTCTGCCATCAAGATAATGACTGACCTGGCCATCATGGAACACCTGAAGAAGAAAACATCAAATTAAATGCACTTTACCAGAGAGTTTTCTTAACAGGAATCACCTTCAGTGGTGTTATGATTAGAAATTTTTTACCTCCCACATATATTCCGTCTCTGTTTCAACTTTGATGTCTTCTGGTCGCACAAGCTTTCCCTCGTAAGGCCCGATCCAGGTCCCTGCGGGTATTCTCTTTCTTGCACACACTCCGTAGCCAACACAAGGAATGCTGGATGTACACAAGCATACCTCGTCCGGAAATTTGAGAATAGATCCGTTTTCCAAAGGACTATGGGATTGCCCAGCACTGACAAGTTTTCTAAGAGAGTGCAAAGGCCCATGCATCGGACATTCTCCATCATGTTTCTCGTTGCAAATATCGCACCCTATAAACACAAGTGGTGATTAGCTGGAACAAGTTAAAATAACCAACAGGAATCATTTTTGGTTTAATGTATGAATGACAGCAATGAAAGCCGAGTTTTGCTTATGGTTCGTTAATTATTAAACTTTGATAATGAACAATTGCTGTTAGGGGAAAATCGTTCGACTGTTAATGTAAATAACGGTTATTTAAAAAAGAACGAAATCTCAATAGCCCTTCGTGAGAGCGATGATGGCGAAGTGCTAACGCTTGAAACGTCAGCTTTGAAATTCTTAACGGTGGCCAATTTACATTATGAACTCAGTTAATAATGCCAAAATTATCTGGTTATATTCCCCTACCGACGCTACACCACAGTTTCTTTTAAAAACCACCCACTTCATTCACAGCTGTTAAGCCCGAAGAAGAAAAGTTCGCGTGACAATTTTGAGTTGGCGACAACATAGGCCAATTTCGATAGGCCAAGTTCATAAACAACCCATCAAGTTGTTTGTTTCACTACCAGACATTTGTTGAAGTCGTTTACATGTGGTTTTCTGCTGAAAGCCAATCCTGATAGAGCGTAGCTGGTCGCTTTTCATTTAATAGGTTGAAAGAATGTATTCAGAATATAAACAATGCCAGGTTGTACCTCCCTTAACCACATGGAAACAATAATAATCTGAAACTGTTCTTATTTGTCAAAATACATTGAATTCTTCATCTCACTTGTCTCCGGCGATTAATTTAATTTTAGATGAGTTCCATGTTTCCTTGACTGCTTATAAAGTAACCTCGTACACTGATAGTTCTATTCCTAAAATAAAACTCAGTAATTCACTATCATCGGTCCAACGTTGTAAAAATTGAATAATAGATGAGAATTTCTAAGAATTTTCCCATAGCTTGTATTGGAATCTGCCTTTATCAATAATTTTTTCACCCTATATAACCCGAAATCATGTTCCGCAAATACCAATTATTATCTCCGTCGTCAAAAATAAATTTTTATGGCAAAAGTTACAGAATTAAGCATAGTGAATATGTCTCTGTTAACTTCATTTTTTTGTTTCTCTCTTACTTGGTATGTAAGGAGCTAACTCAAATTATTTGCATATTTAATATGCATAAATCGCATCCCTGACGCAGATCACAACTTATAAATTTACTAACTTGAAAAATGAGATGAATTGATTAACTGGTTCAAAACTATGTGACCAGTTCGCGAGGGGATTATTTATGAATTGGTTAGTGAGACTGTAAACTAGCAAATCACAGTCCTCGGTGTGGGGTCGATATCCGAAACAGATCGGTTTGTATCAAATTATTAACAAACAGTTCTAGCGTTTGGACAATTAAGAGACTGAATAGTTGATATTGAAATAATTTTAGTCTTACATCCAAAACTCGTGTTTTAAATCAGAAGAACAGGACCCTTGGAGGTCTCATTCTAAACCTGCCATGTTTCATCCGATCGCTCCTTAGTTTGTTTATTTTCTTCCTGCAAACATTTGGTAAGAATAAAACTTGCCTGGCTGGTTATCTTCCATTCTCATGTCAGATTTTGTTTGTGCGAATATCGTTTAAACGAAGAGGGAACGTTGAGGATAGCATCATAAAAGTTTTAAAGGAACTTGATAAAGTTTATGAAAACTACGCGCTTCTCTACTAGCGATTTTGGATAATTATTTTCATAGTAATGAATGTGAACCTTTCTGCCCTCGCGCAAAGTCGCGAACGTCACGATAAATTAACAGAAATTCATTCTTTTCTCGACTCCATCCAAAGTAAACAATAGTATATTAAAAGTGTAGATGAATGTTTCAGATACTAGCCCTGGTAAACTTATCAAAGCTTTATGCAGTTTATCTCGCAGTGAATTTTTCTTTATTGTTTTGAAGGAAGCTGTGTTTCGTTTCGTTTCGGTATGGCACCGTTATGAGACTTTCCAGACAATATTTACATCTCTGATGTTTATACTTACATGAAAAAGCTTTGTTAGACGCGCCATTTTCCAGTTGCGAAGCTTTTCTTCTCCGTTGCTGTAGTTGGATAGGATCCACTAGACGAATGGGCGTGTAGCCATACAAATAGTTGAACAAATCTTCAGCGGTTAGCTTAATCCTTTGGGTGGACGGCGGATTAGGCGAAGTTTGGAGTTGAACAGGAGAAGTTTTTCCTCCCTGTCTTGTTCGGTCCAACGTTGTAAATGTTGCCATTTGTAAAATCTCGACTTCGGAACAATCAGACTCGAGCTCGAAAAAAGCGTTGCTATAGCTGATGATCTTTACTGTAGGTTTCACGTTAGTAAAGGAAGTTTAACAAGCAGAAACCTATGAAAAATGGAAAAGTATATCAATAAATTATCACACAACGCTCTATCGGCTCTTCTCACCAGGTGCCATATTCTTGGCCTTATACAAATGACATAAGTTGGAAAGGAAATTATTCATGCTTTGTCAAATGAAGCGTACACCGTCACCTGCTCCACGTTTTGAAAAATTGATGAAGGCTAAATAACTTCTTGGCGGTAAAACAAGCTTCTTTTCTTCGCCAAGGCAGGTAGTCGCTCTACCATTATTTTGACAGAATATTTTTGGCACGTGCCGGCAGGCCCACCAAACTTCAGCTTATCGAATAATTTACGACCGAAATTATTCACTCCGACAAGACTGAACAAAAAGGAACGCTTTCCATAACACTTTGCGCTCTTACTCCAAATGACAGTACTGTATGATATCTTTGTCACGGTTTTTCTGTCGATAATGTCTGATGGGCAGCTCTGATGAAGTTGTCTTAATGCCTTCCTTACTGACCGACACAATGTGTCACGGGTAATTTAACAAGCAAACACAAAACTTTAATAGACACTTTCCCGAATTTTCGGTGAAGGAAATATTATCAAAATGTCTAGTTTTAGCGGTAAAAAGAAATCTGATATGAAGTAAAAAAAATCAGCGCTATTGAAACTGATCGTTAGTTGATATGAAATCTGTAGAAAAAATTTGTTCCGCACCGAAGCCACAATATTATTGTTTCGAAGTCGTACAGCTCTCGCAGTCAAAACCCTAAGGTTAAAATAACCAAGCTTTCCATATCTACCGTGGTTTTAGCTATAAGAAATATTTTACTATCTCCGATAAAATTATCTTTGGCGTTCTTGATCTTCAAAATTTAGGAATTCCTGAGCACCTGCGTGAGCGAATACATTAGTAGCTTGAGATATAGGCAGAATCTAATCAACCTTTAACTTAAAGTTTCCTTGAAATTTCTTGTTCTCTAATATTATTTTTCTCTAGGCTACTGAAATGTCGTATAAATGGAAATGCCATATAACAAAGACAATTTACAAGTTATCTGAAAACTTCTTACCTGAACTAGAGATGCAAAGTAAAATTTTAGTCTGTCTCTAAATTACGCAATGAAAGGTAAACTCCATCAGGTCTTTCCAAAAATATGAGTCTTTCGCAAGATTTTTCGCGTCGCTTCCGCTCGTAAAGATCTCAGAAGCAGGCGAGAGTCTGTGCTATGAAACACGTGCGTTTCTTTGATTTGACGAGCACGTGTTTAATCTTGAACCAGCAAAAATGTTGAGGAGGAGTTTACCAAACGGATATCCGAAATGGGAAGCGATTTAAGACAAAAAATTTCCGTGTTCTTTGTAGAAACGAAAATGTTTTGAGAAATGTAAAGGCAGTTCTAACACAAAAATTAGATGCTTCTAAGAGATTCTCCTGCGAATCTGTTCGATCGGCTCACAAAGTCAACCTCGTACTTGGCTGTACTAGAGTACCTGGCGTGAGTAGAAAGCGCTAGAGATAGAAAGAGAGAAAGCTAGTGAAAAGTTTGACTTGTTAATAATTGATTACGTTCCTGGGTTAAGTGACAACAGATTCAATCAATATGAAATTTCAATAATTAATTTTGTGTTTTGAAAATAGCTTCAATTGTTTGCTAGAGAAAGTTATTAAATATGGATGACCTGTCAAGTAGGTTTCCATAATTCATAGCGCTGGCATTTTATGGCAGTGAAAATTTACCTCGCATTCCGACTTAAATATTCTGTTCTATGTTGACGAAAGAAATGAACTTTAATCAACTCTGAAACAAGGTGAAAATGATAAAAACTTAGGCGGAGCTTTCGAAAAAGACCATTTTAAAAATTGGCAGTTGTCTCACGCGGATGTTTCTGTTTCGAAGATGTTTGCCCGAAGGAGAATATACTCCACACAACATCCAAAGCTGAAACTTTGATGAAAAAGGTTATTTTTTAAGGAGTCTCTGTTCGATTAACTTTGTTCTTTTATTTGGCTCCAAAACATGCGAAGCAAATATTTATGTTAGGGTCGGAAAAGAATACATCGCGATTTGTTACTCAAGGCTTTTGAGAATTTCCTTGACTAAAACTACTACCAGAATACTGAGACGCAATTTTTATATTTGACATATTTATTGCTAATCAAGAAATGTTCTCGAAACTGTGGTTGCTTTAGGAGACCACTATTCATTCGGAAAAGTGGGAACCTTTTAGTCAGGTTCATTGGGCCTCTTTAATTTTTCATAAGGGTTGTCTCGCTTGTTAGCTGTGTGTAATTGAGATCTTTCCAATCTAAACATAGGAAACAGTTTATGGTAAGCTATGAAATAATGATCAAACTCAAATAGAATATTTAGCACTGGAGTTATCTGACATTAAACAATGCAGTTCCATAGACTTTTGTTCTTTTTGTTTCAAAGGAATCAGTGTTTTTGACATATGTCAACGAAATCAGACTCTTCTAAAGCAAGCTCTTCAGTTTCTTTAATATTGCATTCATTTGATTGAATGTTAGAGAAATGAAGAACAAACTCGCTGTCGCGGAATATTAATTAGAAGGAACTGCTTCACTCCACAGAATCTTGTTGGACTGTAATGTAATTGACCTTTATTTGCGCTTGCCTATTAAGACCAAGGTAGCTTAGTGGGGTGCCTAAGTTAATAAAAACCAAAACTTGAAAAATACAAAATAAACCTGCAATTTATCTCCGATTAACCATTCGTTTCAAGCTAGAAAAGATTTTACAACACAAAATCACTTTATTAGTAATGCTCCATGTTTTGAGTTTTGGTCGTAACGTTGAAAATATGTCAAGTTTAGATACTGACAAAGTGTGTTATCTGGACACAAACATGTAGAGAGATGAAATCACTTTTTTTTTTAATCAGTGTTCAGCTTGGCAAAGCACAGAAACAAGATAAATCTAATCGGAAAAATTTGACTGGAATGTATATGAAAGAGTGCCGCTTTTTTCTGGTAATGCTATGTCAAAAGATAGCTACCTTATTTCCACCTCTGTTTCAATTAATCTTTATCACTGAATCTTTAAGCTATAAGAAATTACTCAAGAATCCACAACAAATGAAAAAAATTTGACGTATTGCTTTTATTGTCAAAAATGCTTAAAATGTCGCGAAAGAGGGAGTTCTTGAAAAGATAAAATCTCTTTATTGATATTCAATTTTCGCATGTCGCTATTTTTTCGTTATCATACGTCTTGGGGGAAAGTAGTAAAATATGATAAAAGGAGAGTTGAAATTAAAATCTAACCAAAGATTGATCACTTCGTAATGGTCATTCCTATGTTTAAATGCAATGTAATCTCTTGAACTACACTGATTTAGCCCTAAGAAATTTGGATCAAAACGCGCACGCAGTAACTTTTTAAGTAATGAATCGGGAGCGATGGGAACTTGTCCTCAAGGCAGTTTTTTTAAAGTTTTGGTTCGTGACATTTAAGTCAAATTGATTGCGCATGCTCCGACTTGGCAGGTGAGTCTCACGGGCGCGAAAATGAAATAGTAACTGTGCTAGTATGGATGAGTTTGAAACAACTTTTTCTATCAAAAAAGAATAACACTGTTTTTTAATTTGAGTAAGCCACGTTTGGAATCATATAATCGTGTTGCGCTGTTTTTATTATGATGTGAAAGCCTTTGATTATCTTTGTAGGGAATAAATACGAACATTGTATGGTATTTCAATTAATGACAATTTGCCGAGTTCTTTTTCTTTTGATCCCTAGTTTTTCTAGTCTGAGTTGTTGTTGGTGTCTCAAAATTGTTAAATGGATCCATTCTTAAGAATTGGTTCCGCGCTTGATGATATAATTAGACAATTAAATGCAGAACAATATGTGGCTTTTGGCGGATTGAGCCACTCAGACTTTTGATAAACCTTTTCCTAATTTTACTCATGAAAATTTCTGAGTAGCATGCGAGAACCTATGACTTAAACATCTATAAAAGACAGTCGGAGCTAAATAGATATAATTGATAATAATAATTTATCAAATAGGTTAATCTTGAGTCACGAATACGGAGAAACAGATGAACCTTTTAGAACCTTTTTATAAGATATGGAAACTTTTTTTTTAAGAGATAACTGCACTGACCCAAGTCTTAATGCTTTCAATTCCTCGGAGATGAAAATTTGTTTATTTTTAGTTCGCAAGTTTAACCACCCTGTGAACGGAAAATTACTTTTTTTTTAACCACTTGATGAGTTAATTCAATAAATGACCACGATCTTGTTAGTTTGATTCTTATACCTGACTCTAGATTACATCATGGCCTTCTAAAAGTTCATTTTATCAAATAAGCATACCTTTGAATTTCACGAATGATCCACGTCCTTCAGGCAAGGTTTACAGCTGTAAACTGCGTTGAAACTTCCATCGCCTATTGATGTCCATCAGGTTAAAAATTTCTTTCCATTTCATTTTATCAGAGAGACTTTTAACCTTCATGCGGTCATACTTTCCAACGATGGAATATTTCCGTAAATCAAGGGTCATTGTGCCACAGATGAGTTGACAAACAGCAAAAATCCAGTTAAGTTTAGGAGCTTAAGATGAGGTGGGTTAGTTTTCACAAATAATAGAGTAAATGAACATGAGTGAACTTTAGTGGTCTCAGTTGTTGATTTTCTGACAGATCAACCTGTCACCAAGCAGGTTATTTACTGGTAATGACGGGTGCGCTTCATTTCCACAAATCTTTTTTTGAACGATTTATCAGTTTATCACAAATTATCTTAAATATTTCCTTTCCTCTAATTTCAATCTGTCTTTCGTGGACTTACAGGTTTGAGCACATACGAATTCAAGATACCGACGGTTGAACCAACACGGTGTCAATGATGCGATTTTGGTATTAAACAGGTTAGTTGGAGACAAATTTCTGTTTTTATCACAGATCTTTGTAATTGAGGGTGAACTTTGTGAGGTTGTGATCAATTCTTTATTTTTTTCTATCATCTCTACTATTACCATAAATGTTAAATTTCCTAAAGAGTATCTGCTCACTTCAAATCAAATGCCTGGTACTACAAGATGTCAACAGGAGGCGAGGCAGACCAATAGTAATTAGGGGGTGGTGTCTGTCCCGTGAGATCTACAAATTGATCAGCGAACCAAGAATTCTAAGTGCATTTCCTAGTGGAGATTTTGTATAAGCTCATCAAACAGCGCATGACAGCAGCCATAATTTAAGATCATTATTTGAAATTGGCGCCAAGTGGGTTCTCAGACGCTGTGTTTGACAGGCAGGACTGTCATTTACTTTCAACCTGTTCGATGCAGTTCTACATCATATGATTAACTGTGACGATGATACTTGCCACAGAATTATAAAACTCAAGCTGCCAAGCTTGTATCGATGATTACGCTCAGTTTGACCTCGACATGAGGTTGACGAGGCGTGAACACAATTCTGTTACATAGATGATTTTTCCCTCCATTGTGAAGCCTCTCTCCGAGTTATTCTTAATTGTAACCAACTAAAGGTGCAAAAAGAGCGAACATTTTCCGCTTCACTTCACTTATTTTTACTCCCGAAAAAGATTGATGAATTAAACTTGCCTGACTATGCAGTCTGTACTGGGTGCAAACACTGGGTGCCCCCTTCTCCACTCCCAGTCGGCCACGCCTTGTCCTCTCTTTACGGTAGAGAGCAATCAGAGATTGTTCCGGCAATTCTTCTTACCAAAAGACCCTGGCTGTAGAAATTGGAAATTTCCGCATAAGTCACCTTTTTTATTTGTTATTTACACACCAAATGTATAACACGATACCTTCAATGTTTGTTTCCCTCTCTCACCGTTATATACCTAAAATAAGTGCTACTCTTTACAAATATGGTGGTGTATATTTAGCATCTCTTTCGGTTATTGCTTCAGTCAAAATCTTCAGTTCTTGTTTTTTTAGCTTTTTGTGAAAAAGTCAAAACGAGAAATTTTATTACCACGAGCCACATATATGCTTTCCTCTATACTATTTGCTTTTTTTTCTGATGTAAATTTTTTTTTCGACAGGCTGCTGTTTGTGAAGTGTTTTACCATGATTACACTTTTAACATTTCTTCTCCCGATTTTGCTTCATGAATGCAATGTCATTGGAAACGTCACTGCAGCATCAAATAGTAAGTAAACAAGTCTTCTTGAAAACAAACGTTTCAACTCGGATATTGCATCTAGTCAACAGCTGACACTAAACGGCAATGTGGCTTCCCAGATAAATATCCTAATAAAACAAGGCTAAAGGGAGTGATGCTGAAGTCCACACTTCAGCTAAGAAAGGCAGATTATCACGAGAATACTCACGACTAAGTTAATCAACGAAATATCATACCGACAGTATTTCTCAGTCTAATTTCGTTCTTTCAAACAACAATTTGTTCTCAGATAAAACCTGTTGGACCGAATGCACAAAAACATGTGGTGGTGGAATGCAAGTCACTTGTCTAAATAACACGACAATAACGAGAGCCTGCAATACAAGGCGCTGTCCAGGTTAGTATGGGTATGTCCCTTTTGGCTTTTAGTGTTTATGCTGCTTGGGAACAAAAAAGGGTGAACTTAAGCCAGAACTGGAGACATCTTTTTCATGTTAGATATACCATTTATCGTGTAAGATAGCAATGCTCAATTTTTTTTTCATTTTTCATGAACAAACCTCAGGGGATCCCGAGTGGACGAAGTGCACTTTATCTTGTGGCGGAGGGATACAGAAGAACATTGACAATAGCAGTATTCTGCGAACGTGTAATACTATGCCTTGTCCAGGTAAGTAATTATTATTAGTTTTATGTCGGTCTCCCGGTTTGAAAACAAGACCAATTTTGTTCATAACTATTTATGATTTATTGCGTGCTCAGCAAGAGAGGATATACATATTCTTCTCTTGCTGGCCGGTAAAAGTCAATAGTAAAAATCATACGTCATCCTTGCTCTCAGCTCCCAGTGTCATAAAACACCGCATGAGTTCGTACCCAGCTTTCTGTGCTATCACATTCTTACAGGAGATGCGGGGTGTTTATCTGCTTACCTTAGCTTCGAACACGTTTACGATCACATTGTCTACGACGAGTCACATAATGGCAACGCTGGAACAATGCATGGATGCGCGCGCATCGTAAGCAATGGTAAATTTGGCAAAGGATTGCAACTGAGCGAAGATGGAAATGTAACATTTGATGTAGAAAAATTTAGCAATCGACCAACAGATGCAATTACTATATCTTTGTGGCTTAATTTATCACAAGTCAATGGTTCACACGAGCTTTTTTTCACTTGCGGCACTCCTGAGCTCTATAATATGGGTGATTATCATTTTGCAATCGAAGATGGGAAAGTCCATTGGCTTGAGGAACTTCCTGGAAGTGGAACGCGTTTTAATGTTTCTTCAAGTATGTATCTCACCTTTTTATCTTTTTATACAAATTTCTGACTGTTTTCATTCTAAATCATCATTTTTCTTTAGCTCTCTTTCACAAATGCGCTTTGCAACTTGTCTATAGTAAGCTAAGAGACAGAAACTTGTTCGCTTGATCTAGTCCCATGGAGACAACTCAGGGGTCTATGTGTCCATGCAGCAGAAAAAAATTAGTTCTATCGCCAGTTCTCCGACTATTGTCCGTCCTCTTATATTTCTTACAGTTTAAGTAAGTTTCATGGGTTTTCGTTTACAGATCTGTACATTTAAGCAAACAAAAATAATCAGGGCTTGCACAGTGAGCTGCAAATATTTACTGTTGCCATAGCACGATCTCTTTTGATTACCTTAACTTGTTTCACAGATACTACAATAAAAAGCGGTACGTGGTACCACATCACAGGGACCTACAGACAAAGCACAGGGAGGGCACGACTTTACATTAATGGACTCCTGTCAAATGAAGTGCGACCTTCGATGACTCCAAAACGGTCAGCAGTACCTAAGCCCAATAATACCACGCATGCGCAATGGAAGTGTGCCAATTTAGGCAGTTCACCGAAAGAGAAGCCTTTACAAGGCATTATAGATGAATTTCGGATCTTTAAATGCGAGCTCTTACCACAAGAAATTATGGATTTGTACAATAAGAATACTGTCAAGAAATTTCGAATTCCAGCACGAAAATCAAATTCGTTAATGAGACAACCCCTATGGCGAAAAGACTTTTCTGAATCTCTTTCCTTAAAAAAATAATGATCTCTATGCATGGAAAGTTTATAAAACTTCGATCACTGAACAGTTGTATCGCCTATTGCTGTACCAGCTGCTTTCATTTTTCGGATATATTCTTCTAAAGTTTACAGAGGATGAAATTTGAAGTAGATTATTTATTCCAACGTGTTTTGTGTCACTATGAGGAAGGAGTGGGAATATGCTAAAATAAGGAACACCGGACAATGGAACACGCCGGGACACCGCGGACTAAAAGTAACGATAATAGTGAAATAAAAAGAATTAATATATATTATATATTATAAAAAAGAATTGAAAAGAATGAAATTATGTGTGGTTCGTGCCCTTGCCCCACGTGGCAAGTCCGCCGTCAAGTTTTCCGTTCACCAATAACCTCGTTGTAGGTGCCAGGAGGACTGGTGCTGTCGATGCGTTGCTCTATTTCAGTAGCGTAAATAACTTAAACACGAGGAAAAGCTCTCAGCTTTAGGAGCGAGTTATAGATAAGCGCACAAATTAAGATATGGCATTGAGCTATCGGAGCTAAGAAAACACTCACGCAATAAGGAAGCTTCCCGTCTGAAACACAGACAGAGCAGTAAAAAGATAGATTTCTTGTTTGCAAACACAAGAAATATTATCAAAGCTTGAAGTGATAGCAGTAGACTTTGCAATGGACACTTATATAACCTTGCCTTTCTTACTGTTTAAGAAAACCGCAGAGCATCTGTGGCGATGTTATCAGTCAGTCGAAAATCAAGATGGCGGGCACTACTCTGACTGAGAGCGTAAACAATTCCTAATTGATTTTTTTTTTCATTTTATTACTTTTAATGTTTCGCGGTGTTCCAGAATGTTCCCGTGTTGAAAGATATTCCGGTGCTTTGACGCGTTCCAGCCTTCCGGTTTGTTACTGTGTTCCGGTATGTTCCAGTGTTCCAGCATGTTGCGGTGTTCCGGCATGTTACGGTGTTCCGGAGCGTTCCAGTGTTCCAACATTTTACTTTTAATCCATCCAATATCTCATTAGCTGAAGTTGTTTGGACAAGTCTCTCGACTCTCATTATTTCAAATTGATTGCGTGACATATTCCTATCTGCCGATGAACACCGCAACGTAACGCCGATGAACGCTCCGGTTAATAAAAGTTCGGTAGTGAAAGAAATGGCATCCATCTTGCTCAATCTGAATATTACCCAACACTAAACAAGTTAAATTCTTCGCCACGTGGTAAGAAATTTTCCACGAAAAAGATAGCACATGCCTGTTTTTCTGTATGAGCTTGGACTCACTCCTTCGTTAAATTTTTTTTATGCCCAACACCGAACATGTCGCAATGTCTTAGTCGATTTTCTAATCTTGTCCTCAAGAGGAACCACGAGGGATTCCTCAAAGACAAAAGACGGAAGTACGTTCAAGACCAGTATTAATTTCTCATCATCAAGGCCTTTTTCGCCACCGGCGCAATTAGAGCAGATGATGATCTCCATAGGAGAAACCTTCCTCGCTTCTCTAACATTTCTTGTTAAAAGGCAGGCCCCCTTTAGAAAACTACTATGAAATTAGTGCTGCAAAGAAAAATAAACTGAACATTCTTTGTGTTAAAATGATATGCACAACAGGCAGTATGGGTTGTGAAGAGTAAACAAAAACCATGCATAGTCGCCTGAAATTTGAAATACTGAATGCACAAGCTCTCATTGAAGGTATCTGTTTTCGTTTCGTGTAAATTCTTTTTGTAAACTATAAAATTGAAAAGTAGCTTTGTAGACTTAACAAATTTAATGGAACACGTGTCTTTCAACACCACCGGGACGTAACTGATAAAGCTCTTACGTTGAAAGCCTTATCAAGCTTGTCCATCAGTCATCAGTGCTGAAGAGAATAGGACGAAAGAAATTTGTTATGAAAACAAGTGATGAAAGTAAATTTCCTTATTAATTTCACACAATGAGAATTTTATTGGAAAAGTTAGCCAAAGAGATCTATTAAAACAAAACGCGTTGAGTGAGGTCCCGATTCTGACCATATCATTGCGCCTTAACTCTAAGCTGACAACCTGCGAATTCTGATCCTCAAATTCATGTGCAGATTGACGTTTGTATTAGTGTTGCACACCCTGGAACTTTCTCACCAGACCTGTTGTCTGTAAAATAATCTCGACACACTTCATGTGACACTAATTTTTTGTTTCATCTAACCCCTATATTAACGCTACTTCGCAAAGTCGTTAGAGTGGAAACCCTAAATCGATGTGGCCCTTCCTTCGAAAGGGACAAAATACATGCAATTTAAAAACGGTTTCGCGTCTTTGAATACCGCGTGTTAAAGAAACCCCTAAGAGTGAAGTGTTTTTGCGAGGGACGCATTTGGACATTTGCTATTGGTTTGCTGCGAGAATAATTACGAACAAAAGAGCCGACCCTGCACGTGTAAGTGATTGAGACTTTCAAAATTAATTTAGGTGTGGGGACACACAGGAAGACTGAAAAGGACTACGTAATATTGATGTATAAAGTAATAATTAGCTTAATTGCACCGATCGATCAAACACATTATTTTAACGATAAATGCATTGTTCATCAGTGTACCTCCCTTATAGTTTAATGGAAGTTTTTCTTGCGACGCAACTGCCCCAGCACAGTGAGCAGAGAGACCAGCACATATATCAAACTGCTTTTTGTATTTGGATTGTGAAAATGAGCGCAGTTGTATCCACATTTGATGAAGTCGAAATTATTATTAAAAGCCAACCGATAGATCTTAGAAGTCATGGTAAATCCACAATTGAAACCTTCAGCTCTGACCAGGGTAAAAAAATCGAGTAGGACAGCAGTTATATTTCCAAGCTATTCTTTAAATAACTGCGTTACTTTTGGTCCAAAGAACACTCATGAAGGCGAATTTTTCATCTATTAATAACAGTCGTACACTTTATTCAAATTTCTAACTGAATTCTAACACTAATCGCTTTGACTGAACGAATTGATTATACTGTACTCTAACAGCATGCATTAGTTTCTAAAATTTGCCAATATTTATGGTGTAACAAATGTAAATACTTTTTTGTGAGTTAAGAATATTACACAGTTCAAGCACTTTTAGGTAAATTAATGCAGAGTTGATGGTTATTCTTTTTTTAATTTTCTTACCTCAAAGACTATTGTGTTTACTTGCATAAGATTAGAGAGTCACGCATACACAACATTTGTTCTCTCCTTGAGCGTTTTTTAGGTTTTTATTTGTTGTCGTTTAAATAAATGCTTCCGAAAATTCTGAGATATGAACGATGATTAAGTTTTGAGAGACATTTTGTCAAAATTTATTGCGAACACGAGTAAATAATAATTTGTGGATATCTGGATATATTCATTAGACTCTTAGACTTTCAGACAAAATTAGTTTAACACTCCTTTTGTTTCATAATTTTAAGCAAAAACAAACCGCAGAAAAAAAGAGAAGAAAAGAAGACGTTATAGCTTCCTTTGGAAAAACGTTGGAACTCGGACGAAAGGCTTTTCATCTCAAGTATCGGTTGATTGAATGTTACTGCCCATTGACTTTCCTTCTTGTCGTCACCAAGAAAATTTTCTTTCACAGAACTGAAGAACATTTTCAATTGATTCATCATAAAATTGCTCCTCCTTCGTGTTATTACATGCTGAGATATTTTCAATTCGGTGATTAACGAAGAAGTCCCTTGTTACGCAATTTCCTCACTTTTATCTTACTGTACATAAAATATTAAAAAGTGCGCCTAGAGACTCAGATGTAGCATTGCGTATTAGTGCGCCTTCTTTCTTTTGGCAAGGAGCAGGTGTCATATCTGTCAAGGTTAACATATTTTCCTTTGCAAGTTAACAACGTAATTTATAGCTTTTCTTTTTACATGTGGGTGTTACCTTGTGATTACTTTGAACCATGTCTCGGATAGCTTTTCATTTGTGGGACGGTGCAGAACTCTTAACCGTGTTTAAGCTCATCCGGATATTGGGATAGATTGCGCAATTTGTTGGGAATAGATTGCGCAATTTTTTTGAACTTTAAAATAAACTTATAAGAATTAAAACTGGCGGCACCTTCAATTTTTCATATTTATCTTGAAGGGAAGTACTTAATATTTAAAATATATATTAAAAGTTTGCTTTTCGCTAAATTTGAAGTGACAAATGTTGCGAAACTTCATACTCTTCATTATGAAGATCATGCATTATTGAACACATTTTAAACAGTGAATTCATGGAAGGAAAAAAAAACTCCCAATGTCTTTACTTAATGTAATATTTTAGAAAAAGCTTAGAGCCAGAATAAAAGTTAAACAAAGACAAGGTGTTATGTAAGTTAGCATTTACAACAAGTCAGCTAATTAAACTCGAACAAAACCTCACATCCGTTTTCAGGAAATCATTAGATAAGAGGATAAACTTTAAAGCTACTATTTCTAAGTTTCTGTTTTCACAGTTTTTAAAATCAGAAACAGGGCGATACTTTTAAAATGTTTTCATGAAAGAAACCCTAGCTTTTGATCGCGTGTCTCCGATGCAATAAATTAGCAACTGAATCCGTTAGATCCTCACAACACCCGTAGGCAGCACCACCTTTGGGACTAAAAATAACACCATAAGTAGTTCATGTGAGTTTTGAAAGGGAACTCCCCCCTCGGTCCTTCAGATGAAACATCATTGAGATAGAAGTAAGATTTGCAAGAGGCCGGCCGGCTGAAGGTAGTTGGTTCATCGAGTTTTTCTTTTCAATTACTTTTTTTCATTAGAATCCAATTGTCATGTGAAATATTTGCCCGAATTTTCGGTGATGTTTTATGAATGGTGAAAAGGTCACCACTTCCGCTACAGAAATACAATGACCCTGATAGAGTTTAGTTAAGAATCGAAGAAGCACTTATCTTCAAAAGACGATAACCAGACAAAATGAAGTCCGGTGTGAGACAGCCATTAAGCTCGAAAAAAGCAAGTTTAATTACGCAAAAGAAACTAAAGAACAAGCTAGCACTTTGTGTGTCATTCGCGTGCGAGACTTCATTTACACGCATTTTGAGTATTCTTAAACAACCCTACGTCGGTGATTATGCCAGTAAACCGATAGAATGTTCGGTTTATTGCTTTCACGAAGAAATCTTAATGGTGTACTTTTTGAATGTTCTATCTGTTCAATACGCAGCGGGTTTTTAAGACCAGTCAGCGTTCATGCATTATCTTAGATATACACTGCTCACAAAATGCCCAAAACAAACGTTTGCCCACTCATCTGGAAAAATGCGTTCTCTGTTCAAAACTTATTTAGTTTAGACTCATTTCCGACTCAAAAACTCCACTTTATTGTGCTCAAAGCTTAATTAGAGTAATGTATGTAAGTATAAGTCAGTTTGATAGGAACACGCGGCAAATTGTCGGCAACCGTCTAGTCTGTTAAGTGTTTCATCCAAGCAATTTATCACAAAACAATAAACTTCCCAGTCAGTGAAAGCAATGCCTTTAATTGTTGTCACGAAAAGCTATAATTTACTCAAAATTCCATCTTTACGTATTACGAATAATACGGAATTTTATATTTAGAAGCTTTGGTGTCTTAAATTGATGAGAGAATTACAGTTTTTTTTTTTACGGCTTGTGGATGTTCTTGTTAGTTCCTTAACAAAAACGGTATGTCTTAAAGTCGGCGAGTGATTTAAGACTGAAATGTTTTAGGGTCTAAAAGGGGAAATAACAAAATCACAGCTTGAAGATGCATTACAAAGATATCTAGTTGAGAGTTCGACGAATTAGCCCATTTGAATTTTACCGCTTGAAGTGTTGATAATAAATATTGAAGAGTTAGGAATAAAACTGGTTTGAATGACCCAGAATTTAACAGCGCTGAGCGGGTAATAAGCCAAGGAAGGCTGTTTATTGTGAAAAACTAATGTGACAAATTTCAGAAGTGCAAGTAAATGTCGTTATTATCACGAGGTGTAGTTTTAAATTAAACTTGTACTTTTTGCCCGCAAAATGAACAAGATTGTGGTAGAGATGCAGAGATTGGCAAATAGTTAAGTTTTGTTGGAGTAGGTACAAAGGTGCCCCACGTACCCGGCACTCGAGCATACCATTTCTTGGCGAGGTTAGAGTGGTAGAAATGAAATAAGATCTTTACCTTTTATAAGGTTTTCGTTTATTAATGAGGTTTCGAAAAAACTCCGGTGTAAAATGACCTGTAGATGGATCTTTGCAGAAGTAGTGCTATTGAAGTTGCTTGCGTTTTAGTCACTACTCGGGACTTTTAAAAGACAACGAAAAAGGTCATAAAAAAAATAAAATGAAAAGAAAAATGAAAACAAGATCCATTACAACAAAGCTACGCGACTGAAAACAAAACTCGCAGTTTGAGCATTAGTATGAAATAATAAATACGACTAACCCAAGCGTGCCTGTAAACAAAAAGAAACACACGTTTTCAATCTTATTTGTTTGAAACCTGCGGCTTTAAATTTGTTTCAAAACAGCAACGATAAATGGTCTCCAACAGAGGAGTAATAAAGCTGAAAATATGGTAATTTGTCTGTCTACTGAGGTAAAATATCGAATACTTTTACTTCAAAGGATTACATTCTAGTGTACGAGTTTTTGAGATGATGTCGGGAGGCTTAATATGTTTACTGAGTATTTTGTCGAATATTTAGTTGTTGTAGCTGGGTAGTAAATTATTTTCTCATAATTACGCTGTTTGAATGACTTGACGTTGAAGTAACTTACCACAAAGGGCAAATATTCTGTGCTAATTATTACTGCTATTAAGAAAATCTATACATGTCTGCATTCAGCTGGCCGTGCATTTAAAATGAGCAAAATGGACTCCGGTTTTACTGATTATTTTGGAAACATAGGAGTCAAAATTTTGCATGAGCAAGGTCGAATAGTTCACCTTCCTCCTTATCTGTAATTAGAAAAAATGCTTTTTCTTGTTATTTTTTTAAATTAATATAATTTTTTGCTCCTTATTCATTCATACCCTGTTCAGGATTAATATGCATCCTTCAATCATTTCTCATTATGGCAATACAGGTGCAATCAACAATAGGTTTTGTTTAAAATGCGGCTTTTCTATTGGCGAACAATCGCATTCAACACTTGTTGTTTGGTTTAACTTCAATCGGCCCATCGTTAGTCCTAGTCCAGTTATTCAAAAATACACAATAAGTTCAGCGCGTGCGTTCAGTTTAACAAGTCAATCGGCGGGCCCCGCACGTGTCATGTACGAGACCATTTGCTGCGGCTGACAATAAAACAGAGAAAGCACAATCACCATAAAGAAAGAATCAACACAAGTCGGTTACTACTTAACGCAACGCAAGTTTGTTTTCACTTCAGATCCAATTAACACTTCTTTCGAGCAGATCATAACCCGAAAGGCAGCTTTGCAAAGCAGTAATCTCAACTAACGGTCAAGGCACCCAACAGGAAAATTCTAGAAAGTTTGAAATGCCGAAGTCTTTCCTTTTAAAGAGACGAACTCCACAAACCCCAACGAACTCCAGTCTCAAAATTGTTGATTATAAAGAAGGTTTGTGGATAACTATCATTTATTTTTAACCAGTCAGAAATCAAATTTTTGTTTAAATATCGATTCGATTGAACGTAAAAAAGGTTTTATCCTTTAAGTTACTAGTTCGTTATTTACATTAAGATAGTCGATGTCAACTTGTTTTGGAATTAGTTCAAACAAATTAATACTTTTTTCAAGTTTTAACATCGACCGTTTTTGGTACAATCCCTCTGAAAATAAATGTACATTAGCTTGCGGCATCTGCCAAACTGTAAAGTACGAAAGCGTCTTTAAAAAAGAGAGTTTTGTTAACTTACGCGGAACATTTCATTTTGGTCTAACAGAAGCAGTCTCGAACAGCTTTCAGTTAAAAAGATCCTTTGAGGAACAAACCTACAGACCTCTGCACCAGGAACCCAAGCCAGAACCAAGAGAGGAATTATTGGTTCAGAGCTCGGTACTTCAGGGCGCAGGTTACAACACAAGGGCTTTTGTCATGAACGACGAGCTTGTTAACCATTCAAGTGGCCGCCAGTTCTCCATTTTAAGCCCGTATTACCACTTCACAGCTCCTGAGAGATTAGCAAACGCCGTCCATATGCATCCTGCCGCAAACGAACATTTCTTCTGGAGAAATGAGCTTAGTATCTCTTCCACCCCAGCTTGTTGTGATATTTATCAGCACGGAGTTCCTCTTGTAACTCCGCCTTCGATTTCCATTCCCGAGAAAGTCAAAGAGCCCTACCAGTGTGATCAGTGCGGTAAGATTTTCAAAACCAAATATACCTTAGCCATCCATTTAAAAATGCCAAATCACACTCATGCTCGGCCCTTCGTATGCAATACGTGCGGTAAAGGCTTCCGATTGTCTTCTACACTTTGCAGGCACAAGATCATTCACACTAAAGAAAAACCGTACAAATGCCATGTTTGTGAAAAAGCATTTAATCGCTCGTCTACACTTAAGACACATATCCGCACCCATAGTGATGATAAAGAATTTGTTTGTGATCGCTGTGGCAAAGGTTTCCATCAAAAGGGAAACCTGCGAAATCACTTTCTCATTCACACGGGAGAAAAGCCGTATAAGTGCAGCTTGTGCCAGAAAGCTTTCAATAAATTGTCGAATTTGAAGTTTCATATGCATGTGCACACAGACAATTCACCATACCGATGTAAATTTTGCAAAGTTTCCTTTTCACGAAGATGCGATTTGAAAAGTCATATTCAGAACGCGCATGTTGGACAGGATGCAAACTAAATCCTTTGCTTGTACTCTAAAGCAAGAGGAAATCCAAACCCTTGGTGGCACCCTAAAAAGTATTTTCTGATCAAGGCTTTCAGGTACTCTTAAGAGATCTTAGATAAAAAGCATCGCTCAATAACCCTAGATTTTCGTTTTGGTTTTGCAAGAATTTTCTTTTTATTCAATTTGCGAAGTCGAGGAAATGTTTTTCAGGTTTCGAAGATACAGTTAACTTAGTTCCTATATGATTTTTTTGATAACCACTTGTATAATTGTAACTTATGAAAACTGAAGGAGAGCTTGTCGAATCTTACGAATCGATAACCGAACATAAAAACTGTCTCCTAATTCTTAATCATATAATTCTAGAAAAAACACCTTTGAATAACACGAATGTATTCTTTTGTAGCATAGGTACTTAAGGTTTTTTGTGTCAAAAATTCGAAGAATACACACTTAGGTTTGTACTATGATATGTAAAAAAAAGGTTGTGAAGTTGCTTAAACTGTAGATAATTGTACATAGCCCCAATTTTAAATATTTGTAACGATAGTTAGTTCCGATAAATGTACTCCTTTTGAAATTAAAATAAATATAACCTCCTGTCAAGATTATCTCTTAAATTCTCATTACTCGACGTTGTACTTCATATGCCAGTATTTATTCTGTGGTTATATTTTACAGGGTATCGAATGACTTTCTTCCCGTTTTGCCCGGTCTCGAATTAATACTCTTTTCTGGTTGACATAGCGATAATGAGGAATTTATTTTGAGATAGCAAAATTAGCTATAATTCTGTCGATTTTTTGGAACTAAATAGGCAGACTTTTCTATCTGCTCTCAGATCTGTCCTCAAAATAAGATTTAAACGGATGCACAGTACGTCCATTTTGCAACTCTTCCCGCCAAAAAACAAATTATCAAATACAAGAAGACGTCAAAGCTTAATTGTCTTGAAAAGTCACTGTGGCAGGCAACTGTGTTTATGAAATGACATGAAGAAAACAAAAGCGAAGTCCTCTGAATATATGTCGAAACATTAAGAAACCTGCAAACGTTAAAAAACGTCCTAACATTTTTTTTTTTTTTTTTTTTTTAACCAAAACCCCAGGGTAAATATTTTTAATATGGCAGCAGCGAGGTCGTTGTTTACTTTTTCCCTCGAGGGTCGACTTCAAATGTAAGGAGTCTTTAGGGTATTCTTGTTAATAAGGTAAAGGTAGGCAAAATATTTGTAACAGTTGCAAAAGCGAGTAGCTACTCTGCAATTTTTCAATTTTTTACCTCTAAGATTCATACTTTAAGTTGTTATTTTTGCAAATAAGCATTAAGCATTACATGAATGAAGTGGAAAGTCAAGTTAGAAATTCGTGTTTCTTCGAGTGACAATTTAGTCGGCACCACTCTACATAGAAAATTGAATCAGTCGTAAATGGCGCTTTTAAAGGAAACACGCCGTTATTACATCACAAACACGAGGAATGACTAGTCATTCCAACATTAAAAATTAATTCGTTCCTATTTTCTCTAAAAGTTACATGTATTCTTTCCAAAGTCAGTTTTAGAGGGTCACACCTTTAAATACATGATAACTTTCCTCTTAAGAAAAAAGATTTTAGTGTTTTGTTTCAGGCGATTTCTGAGAGGCAAGCGGTAAACTAATGTTGTGGTAATAGACAATAATAGTTCTTTGGAAGCGAGTTGCACGCGCTCAGAAGATATACTAGTCCATGTATATTGTGCACAGAAATAACTCGGGGTTGTTAAATAACAAAATAAAACAAAACAAAAATTCAATGTTACTTTCCAGACTTATGACCTTTATATTAAAGTCTGCAAAGTGTTTGCCAAATTAGGTTTATGAGACCGAACTCCCTCGACGCCTGTATTATGATAGATTTCATAGCCTGTTAAGATTCGAGACAGGGTTCTTTGAAAGTATTACGAAAGGTTGAAATATTAACAAAAAAAATTGAAGAAGAAAAAAAGATTACTAAGAAACTCTCAGCTGGCCGTTACATCGTTATTCAACAGAATAAAGAACGAAGCGTCACATAACAGGTGACTTCGGCCATATTCTAGTTTCAATTTTGGAGCGCACCTGAACCTAATGATGTAGAAACAGTCTCAATGGTCTTAGCAACAGTTGACATTCATCGGGAGGTGTTCTCACAGGAGGCAAGTTAATACCACCCGCATGTTTAGTTTAAGCAATCAATTAAAATTTCTGTTATTTTCACCAGTCGCTTTGTGACAGCTGAGGGACTGATCTAAGTTTAGACGTAAATATTACCCATTTATGGCAACATTGCATACTATGGACTGATATTGATCAAAAATTTGTCAAAGGTTCTGCCGAGTGATCTAAGTTCATTATACTAAGAAATTAAGGACTCGGTAAAACGTTATTACTTTTTACGTTAACATTCGGGAGAGGACTTGATTCATCGTTTTATATTGCATCGTTTTCTTTCGCGTTATATTACTAAAACTTTACACAGTACGACTACGACACCTGCGAAATTTTTTATCATTCATAAACAAAAAATGATGCATCACACAGTTTTCTAGTGTTAAATCGGCTGTTAAAAAATGGTTTGGCTTAAGAAATCCGTTGTTAAGATCAGGAAGGGAGTAGAACTGCATATCAATCGATGAGAAATAGCGACATACACTGCAAGTTTCTGACATAACGATCAATGATAGCAGATCATAGCTCAAAAATAAATTTCTCCCCAGGACTTTGCCTTTTGACTAAAAGGAAAAGCCCCGGGAGCTGGCGAAGTCCATTGAAAGGCTCGCTACCTCGTGGGCCAAGTTTTTGGACCCTGGAAATAGTTGTTTTTCAATTAAGCGATGGCTGGTGACCTGTTGTCTAACGCACCCTCATTCAAATAAACCGACTTACTGTCGCACATGGCCTAAGTTTCCCTGCTCAGCATGCTTTCATGACACGTTCGAAAACGTCGGCTCCCTATTATTCCTGAAAAAAGAATTAAGTTATTAAACCTGCGTTATGCATTAATTCCTATTAGATGCTGAAATAAGCAAGACACTACACGTGCTCTGATTGGTCAAAAAATCACAATTAAAACCAGAGAAACCTCAACTATTTTTAATCAACAGGCCGCTGACGCTATCGATTACCAGCATTTTGACCGACCATCTTTCGTGCCTTATTACACTGGTAAACCAAAAGCAAGATGATGGTCTCTATTGCTTAAAAACTTAACAGATATTAATTATTTTAAGCTTCCACGTGTCAATTTTGTATTCTGGCCAATATTTCCCTGCTATGTCGCTTGTCTATCGGTGATGTGATTATGAAAAGCGTTACCCCAAGGATTGGAAGAAAAAAGGCATCAGTGAAAATCCTTAATTTTTTTCCATCGAAAGAGACTGAAATTTGTCTCTATAACAATATTGAGTGGTCTGGAAAAAAATAAAATAAATTTTGTCCAATAAACTTTGAATCTCATTTGCAGCTTGTCAAATTCAAGCTTGAATTTCTTATCACCAGATGAAGCCCAAATTTTAATGACCATGGCTAATCGAAAAAAAAAAATGAAAAAAAGCTTGATTATTTTGACTGAACGGAAATATAGTAACTAAAATTTTGACGAAGGGAAATTACTAGGAACAGTTCATGCCTCCCATGAATATCAAGATCCTTCAGCCCTCGTTACCCAATCATTTATTTCTTGAAAAGAACAAGAGGCTGACCCGAGTTTAATGTTACTGGTAGAGAACCATCTGAAGAAACGGTTAGAGTTTCTGAAGAATTCAAAACATTCCCCAGAGTATTCCCCGGTTGGTATGGGGTATCCCTGACCGAAATATTGATGGATGTATCCAGATTGGTTATGACAACCAGTATGCCTCCTTTAGAGAAGGCATAAGCATCAGCCTGGACGTGCCTCTCCACCTGGTAAGGTAAACAAAAACACATGAACACAAGTTAAGGAATGCGTTCAAAGGCGAAATTGCTTTGTGAAAGAGCTAGTCAATAGGTCTAAGATGCGAAACTCTTAACAAGGAGTTCAATCTTTCTCCGGTGGGTCTATGTCTCTGATACATTAAAAGCCAACCAGTCGAGTATAAAATGGAAACATTTTTAGAATCAGAGAGGCATTCTCTTCAATACATCCACTAAACGAAGACCGACGCCCGCGATCCGTGACTGTGGGCCGGCAAACCTCAACTGCGCATGCAATATAAACAAAAGCGTTCAAGATGGCAAGTAGGAAGTACTTCAAGATATGAACATCGGTTTTTCATCATGTGCGTTACCTGTTTGTCTTGTATCCATTCATTTCCAAGAGATCTTCTGAACTTCGCGAGTGTCTGAATAAACTTATACAATGGGTTTGCGGTGGACAAAGAGGGCCAAAGAGATTCACGGTTATATGGGTCGGAGCCGCCGTTAAATCCCTGTTCGGTCCCGTAGTACACAATTGGGATCCAGTCTCCCATCATCAAAAATGCAAGAGCGTTTTTCAGTGATGTGTGGCTTGGGTTAAGATTCAAGAATCTTTGATTGTCGTGGTTATCCAGAAAGCCTCCAAAGACTGATCTAGTTAAAAGCAAAACAACTGTTATGTCCTGTCCAATTTTGAGTTCTAATTGTATCTTTTTCAGTTGCGAGACCATTCCACTCGTACGAGACATACGAATCTATGCTAATATCTGAGTAACTGTGCACCTACCCCTCCCCTAGCCCAACATTAACCTGTATTTGTTATCAGTTGACTTATTTTGGGTTAGGGGAGGGATAGATACGCAGTGGCTAAGATAGAGATATTGATCCACATATCTTGAAATACAGAAAGATTTACCTGTCCTTATAAATTGTGTAGGAACTCTTTACGGCAGCACTAAGTGCAGTAAAATCCTTCGATTTTTCCTGGAAGATCTTCCGCAGGGTCCAGTACATTGGATAAGCTAGCACAGAGTCAATATACCCCTGGTATTCCGCTACATATTCCATTGATCCACAGGGTGGGGGACCATTGTTTGCCTCCCCGATCATAAACGCTCCTCCAGCTTTACGAAACTCTGCCCAGAATGTCTTTGGAACCTGTATGGTAGTGTCCAGGCGATAACCGTCAAAGCCAAACTCGTCAGTCAGACCTTGGATCCATTTCAAGAGCGTTGTGGCTACAAATTGATTGCTTTGGTCAAGATCAGGTAGGCCTGCAAGCCAGTAGTTCTCGATCTTCCATTGGTCTTTACATTCTTGAGGCCATTTTATGTAAGAATGTTGGGGATGGTAATGTCTTGATTCATTAAAAGGAATAAGGTTATTAAATCCAGTACCGGGTGGGTACCCCATGTGGTTGGCCACAAGGTCAAGCATTACCCAGACTCCCCTCTCGTGACAGGCTGCTACTAAGGATTTCAGATCATCCCGGCTTCCAAAGTGCGGATTTATTTCAAATATGTTCTGAGCCCAGTAACCATGGTAACCTCTATCGGTATTTTGCACAATGGGTGAGATCCATACAGCATTAACGCCCAGGCCTGTTATGTAGTCCAGGTGTTTTTCAATCCCTTTGAACGTGCCACCGCAATAGTTCTTTAAATCATCACATTTTCTGGACGGTAAATCTCCAGAGGGGGCAAACCGATCCGTCAGGAGCTGGAGAACAAGAAAGCAAAGTTCAGTGATTGAGAGATGATATCAGAAGAGGCACATTCTTATCCTCGGGATGTCACGCAAAGCTTACTCTAAATGAATTGCGTGACATCCCAAAGAGCGGCTGCGAAGGAAACATTGCATAACATAATACATCAACTTGCCGATTCTCCCCTCTAGCTGCTGCATATCTCCTTGTAAATCAGTTGCGATAATTTGGAGTATATACATATATTTTATTCATACATTATCAGCCAAAATAGGTCATGAGAATACTCGAATGTACCAGGAAGAAGTAGTTATCTTGATCTAACTCTAAATTCTCGTAACTTATTTACAAGGAAATGTGTGGCAGCTAGATGGGAGAATCAATAATCAGATCTTTGGAGTTAAAGGGTTAAGATGGGAATCAGCTGTGTATTTATGACTATGCTTTTTGTCATTAAGTTGACACCTCTCTTCTCTTCCCGATATTAAACAGTGGGTTGTTGTCATGCTAGCCTGCACATCAGGTGTCCCTTGACTTGCTATCAGGTGTCTTCTCTTAAAGTAGGAGGGCGAAATAGGTTAGTATGAAAGTCTGCTGGCGAGAAAAGGGAGACATTGACCACACTTTTGGTCATTTTTTACGTTGACCCTTAGTTATGCGGAATAAGCTGAGCTAATGGGAATCGCACGATTTTGGGGCAGAGTGGGGTAAACAAATTGCTAGCAGAGAGGACATAGGAAGAAAAGCAGGGTTTCTTTTCTGCCGCTCCCCCCCCCCCTCCTCCCCGCCCCTCCAGTCTGTATTTAATTTATTTTTGCTACGTAACGCTTGCCTCGTGACCCGCCTCACGCATATCTAAAAATGCTTCTATAGGATGGGGGTGGGGGGGGGGGGGGAAATTGTGGGGTTCTGAACACCGTGATTCGTGACTAAAAATTACCGAAATACCTCAAGAAACATTTTACAACAGTGCAATAGCCCTTAGCTATTTAAAGTATATTCATTTTTCTGATTAATGGAGGAATCATTAAACGAAAAATCTTTCATTAAAAGGAAAATTTTAAGTATGGTATCGGAGAAAAAAATTTGCAATCATAAAATGTAGGCAGGTTGCAACATGACTTCGAAGAATTTTCAAGCCGACCTTGTTCGGTTTCAATCTGATTTTAAATAAGTCTGTTAATTTTCTCTAACCCTCACCTGATATATTATCCTTCCTTTCCATTCTTCAGCCGTTTTTCCGTCGCATTGATAAAAACTGATTTGAATGAAAAGCAAAAGTGTGGCGATTGTGCCAAGCGGTAACCTCTTGCAGCTTCCCATACTGAAATGCAATGAGTCAATGAGCTAAATTCAGGTCACCTCTTGGATAATCATGTGACAGTCACGCTGTATACTGACGTGACTGCCACGCTATGTATGAATGGTCAATTCAAATTTCAATATGGCGCCAATATTAGGGACTGCAACAAGTTGTTCTTTTTACCAAATTATTCCATGATAAGGAATATTATTATTACGAAGTAATACGTTGGATTTCATTATTATACACCTATTTTCGGTGAAAGTCCTCTAAAACAGTGGATGGAGATACCACAGTTGCCGGTTGAACAACTTTCATGGCTTTGAATTAATATGCAGGTTATGCATGCAATCATAAAAATAGTTCTCTTTCCTTGTATTTATAGGATCAGATTGGAAAAAGAAGCTAAGCTGAGGCGTTCGCAAATTTGGTTTCACAATCGATCGAGAGAAACAACAGTGGAAGTGAAGAAGTCTGGCCATTCTGTCACCACGTGTGCAGAGTGAAGTACTGTTTCAGCTGATGGAGAGGCTGAGGGGAATTTTTCATTAATTTACAGTGTTTTTTTTATCAAGATCCAGTGGATTTTGATATTATTTGAAGGATGTCTTCGGAAGAAAACGAACAAGTTTTTCTTGATGATGATTACGAAGGACTTGTCGCATGCAAAAGAGCAGTTACAATTAATTATTCATTCTTCGGGAACCATGGCAACACTACCCAAAATGACTCTTCACAGCAATTAGAAGAGAACGAGTGTCAATAAATTTCCAAAAGGTATGGAAGTGAATTTGTAAATATAGCGACTTTTGCGCTCCGTTTGTGAAATCCTCGAAGCCGAATGCTGATGTTGCACGCGCAAGAGAAGCAATGTATCATCAACAATCGGAGTTGTTTTTCTTCGATCAGTGTGGCACGAGACGAAAGTACAAACGCTTTCGAAAGCCAACCGAGTTGTTACCGTTTTCGTTACGACTCACGGGTCTCAGTGGAGCGGTTAAAGTTGAAGCCTATCTTAAACAACAGCAACAGAAGGCTGGTGACGCGGCACAAGGGAAGGAAAAGAGTTTTGCGGCTGAAAACAGCGAGACACCCGAGTCTCGGCCGGCTGGTGCGCTTAACAACTTCCCTCTACCCAAAGCTGATCACTCGGCAGAGATCGACGGTAAAAGACCACATCCTGCTGGTGGGAAATTATTGAATTTACCAGACATCGGTTTAAACTCAGGAGGGTTTAATTCTCCACCAGCGATTAGGAGTTTTGAACAACTGGAAGGAGACGATGACGAAGAAGACACTCAGAGATTCTTGTTCGAGGAGAACAAGTTCGCCTCCCAAAATCTGCTAGCCCAGCTGGGACGGTTACTCGATCAGATTCATCAACAACAATTAGAAGAACTAGAGGAAATTGAATCAACTAGTTTACATTTTTGTCGGGTTGCAAGTCCTGTAGCTGAAGTTGGAGAAGATAGCATTGTTTCTGAAACTATTCGCAGTGGGGGAGTTGTAATTTCTTTACCGGACGACTTGTACAAAAAGCTAAGTGCTAATTTCGAAGAACTTTCAGCTGGAGCTTTATATCTGCGACGTGAGTGGCAAACTACAAGCTACAGAGAACAAGCGATCTTGCAGAAACGTCTAGGGCTCATGTCTGAATCGAATACCAATGTAGACGCTTCCAAATCGGGCCACGATAAATCGTCGCCGTCCACAGGAATAATGGATCACAACAAAACGATAAGCGATGATAAGTTAGCGGCAATTAGAGCATCCGAATCAAAAGATAAGCGAAGACAATCGACTTTTGGAGAATCTCTTTCTAAATTAGACACCACAGATGAACTCAATTTAGGATCACAAACTCCTGCGACAGATCACAGCCATTCTGACAATCAACCTCGTCGAGAGTCTTCACGTCTTTCGTTTAACTTTGGGAAAAAAACACGGTTGGAAAAGTTCAAAGCATTAAACGATAAAGCTTTAAGTGGTGAGTCAATTACCTGTATCCGTATTTTGATTTTATTCAGAAATATTTTGGTGTAGATTTGAAAATCAGAAATTGAAATTAACATGCCGGCGAATAATCAAGCGGGTTCTGTTATTTTTGGCAGCTGATGTCACGAAATGTGTATAATTTATTTGGTGAAACAAAAGGTTTATTTTTTGCTGAATTAAACCTTTTGATAGCAGTTTTTATGGGACACAGTAGAAAAAATGCGGAACAATTAGCAGTTAAGTGTTACATTTATCAACAAATTTCTACTCACCTTCCACGTATTTTCTTTCTTAAAATAAAACTTATCTCCTTTAGTTTAATTTTTGATTCCAATTTAACTACTCCCCCCCCCCCCACCTCCTTGAAGAATTACATTACTACTAGCTATTTGTTATTTCTGAATCCATGCCCTTCCAGGGATCATTTTCTTATTGGTAAAGCTGTGAACTCTAATTATTTGAAGCAAACTACAAATATGATCAAAAAAAAAATCTTAAAACTATTTCAATAATAATTTCTTGTATTAAACTCTCCCCTAAAGTTTTCTTATTTAAGAAATTAAATGGTGAATGTAATACTTTGTGTGTTAAGGAGACTGATAACTGAGCAAGATGAAGCCACTTGTATTTGCAAGATTAGCTCATCTTGCTCTTGCAGACAGTGCCCTCTTTGATCTTGAAGAAAGTGAACTGCTGGTGGCTCAGGTGCTCATAGCCTAGTGTTTCTTCCTACAGCCTAACCAAACTGAGTGTCTTGCATTTATTTTGCATTTTTTTTAAAAAATATCTTTGCCATGTATAATGTGGTTCACTGGAAGAGGGGTTTAGGCCTTTTTGATTTGTAACCTGTATATAAAGTTTGTATACAAATATCTTTTTTTTGTTCAAAACTTTCAGAGAAAAAAAAGGCAGGTCTTGATGAGGATGATGACACTCAGAATGACAATGATGGTGAGTATTTGTTTCCTATGGTTTGTTGCTTGATTTTTTTCTTTTTAATTTTTTAATAAAAGTATATTAATTATCTTTAACATGATGAGGGCAGTAACACAAAGAATAGATGTGGATTCCATGACCACAGCTGCAAAAATTAGTTTGCGTTTTCAGTGCTTCTGCAGTTAATTATACAGTAAGGGTCTTCATCTTCCCGTCATGTTAAGAACTGGGCCAGTGCTTCAACTTGTATTTGTTAATGGTCACACAGATGGGTAGGAAAAAATTTTAAACCTGATTTTGTAATGATTATCACAATTTCAATGACAGTTTTGCAGTCTTGTAGCAAGCTTTCACACTTTGTTCTTTTTTAATGATTGGCATGTAAAGGTTTTAGTGAGATGGTTACTGGTATAAATAAATATAAGTTCAAAGATTTTAGGTTTTTTTGTTTCCAAATGATGACATTGAAAAAATGTTGAACTTGGAGCCCTGTGGAGGGTGTAATTATAATAATCTTTTGAACGTTTGACAATGTATAATTATTTTGTTTTTCATTAAATACATTAGTTATTTGTTACTGAAATATTTCTTTTCATGTTTACAGTTACTTCTGCTTATGGGATTGGGCAACCAACAGTTATCAACTTTTCCTTGCTCTCTAAGACCTGTGAAGAAAAAGGTATCTGAAATGCATCAACATGTGATTTTCTACTCATTTTATCACATTTGTTGAACCCTTTACATCCTAACATCAGTATCCATATTCTCTATACTCTACTTTATACATTTCCTTTACTACTAACAAGAAGATTTCATTTAAAAATCAATGCTTCTTAGTTTGGCAATTGTTGCCATAATTTTCATGACTTATAGCTCCTCTTAGGATTAACCCTTCAACTCCCATGAGTGACCAAGACAGAATTTCTCCTTTCAATATCAAGCAGACAATTGATGAGAATGATGGAAAATATTGGTCAGGGGATTATAGGTTGATCCAATAACAAATTCTCCAAACTAACATCACAAGAACTGTATGGCAGACAGTAATTACTAATGAGATCTTGGTATTTAAAGGGTTGAGAGGGGAAATAAGAATCAATGGTTAACTACTGAACACTGGCATTGAATTTATGGTTGTCCTTTAATAAAAACACAAGGTTGGATACTTCATCAAGATGACGCTGATGATCTTGAAAGGCAGACATTGTTGGAATGGGCTCGTTCAAGGTTACAGCAAGTTATCAGAGAAAAGTAAGGCTTTTTCTCTAACTTTAACATGTTTCCACAATTTTGTTTAGGGGCCAAAAGTTGAATGGTTATTATTGAATTAAGGGGTCATGAATGATCACATAATCTCCATATATGTACAAGGACAGGGTGATCAAGACATCTGATTAAACAGCACTGCATTGTATTTATACCATAATTAATATACAGTATCAGAGAAGACATCCAATCTGTGATTGTTGTCACCTCTTGATTATATTACTTGTAATTTTACTTTTGTCTCTTCCTTTGTCTACATCAGGGAAGAAATGAAGGAAAAAGCAAGAGAACTTAAGATAGATGGCCCGCTAGTTACCAAGTTTTATGGTGACACCCAAAGGGAGGCAACCATGAAATACAAGAAAGGGGTGTCATGGGCAAAACGGTGGAAAAATTTGTCTGAAGAGGACAAAAGACCGAAGTTCCTTACTTCTCTACCTGATGGCACCTCCTGTTGCTAGTATCCTTGTTGTATTTCTCTGTAATGTGTATAATATCACCTAATATCACCTATGTCACCTTCTCTGACCTCCTACATCATCAGAAAAACCAGTATCAATTCAGTGGTGTTAATCGGGTGTGTGTTACCACACAGGGTTTGGCTGTGGGGGTTTGAACTTCTTGGAAGAAAATTATTTCCAGACGCAAAGTACTAGTTTTGAGCACCTGATGTAAACTGGGAGGTTCAGGTTGTAAATGTTCGTTAATATTGTTTTTGAATTATAGCAATCCTTAAACTTTGGTCTGGTAGACATACTCTACAACACCCTGTTGTTGATATGCAGAAATTTATGTATTCTAATTGGTTGTAATTAATGGGGAGGCATGATAATCTATTTATCTATTTATTTGTTTCATGCTTGGCGCAGGGTTGTAAGGCCTTTGCAACACATTTCAACCCAGACTTCCCTCAGGGACGCTAGAAGCTTAATATAAACAAGTTTAAGCATCATTTGTATACAGAAGCTATTGTTTCCATGACATAATACCTCCAGCTACCCATCTGGTCGTATAGCAATGTGTGCTAGTTATCCAGGCCCTAATACACCAGGACGATACACTGTTGTCTATGGAGACTCTGCAGACAGCCCAATGCTGGCTACATTTGTGGCGTCTGGCCAGGGGTGTTGTTACCACAAGAATGGAAGCATCAGGTAACATTGCTTGAGGAAACAATATTTTGTTCAGAGATAGTAATTCAAGAGTTTTATAAACCCAGTTAATCAATCAATACAATATTAGTCAATTAATGAATGTGTGTTCTCTTTCTAGATTTGTTTCAACTGTAAAATTTGGAGCCATCATGGGAGAGGTAGGGATACAGTAATGTTACTTATGAATACAGTACCACCTGTATCTGTTATGTTCACCTTTCTTTTAGGCTCAGAAAATTGCTAGCATTTCATGTTTTTTCATGATCACCAGTTTCTTTTCAGACTGAATATCAAGTATGCTTACAAAATATACCCTCTCCACTTGAGGTCACTTGTGGATTACACAAATAGTATGAGTAAGGAAAGAGGAGAGGCCTGATGCATGTGATAACCTGATGTGGTTTGTCTAGGGCTTTTACCTTGTGTTTGTTGATTTGCTAAACAAGAAAACATCAAACACAATCATGATGTATTGACTGTTCTCTATTGCGGATTCTTTCTAAAACAAAAATTACTGTTTTATTCAGGATGGTAACATAGAGCAGAAGTGGAAATGGCCTTTGGGAAGACTACAGACAACTGTTGTTGTGCAGGTTTGCTCATTTTGTATTACTGTACATTGTAGGAGTAGGAATAAAGGGCAGGTGAAGGCATCTTTAGTTATTGGGAGATAGTATGTCAGAGAAATCATGTTGATGAAAAACCTTCATGGGAAGTATGTCAGTTAGGCTATCGTCATGTACACCCATCATACCCATTTCAATGTCATTTCTTTACAACTTATTGGATGTGAGCTTTTCTAGGGTATTTTAAAACACATAAGAAATTGCAGTAAGGTTTAAAAGCTTATGCTTGATTTTTTTTATCATTGATTCCCTTTGCAGATTTTTTTCTTGCAATATTTGTTAGAATACAGGGTTCTATTTAATTGTTTTAATACTTAAATGACCTGCCTTTCTCTTATACTAAAAAATGGTGCACCCTATGCAGGTGGGGCTGGTGAATTTAATCAGCCTCATAGTTGGTGAGACCCTGGTGCAAAGCAGCAGTGCATTGAAACATGATACATGGTGCTTTGGGTGGAAAAACTTTAAGGGACGTCTTTTTTTAATAGAATTTTGTGTTTTTTTTCTGTAGCTGAATAACTTCATTAATCTTCGCTGTGTGAGTCAGGCTGGTATAACTTTGTACTTCAGTTGTCAGAATGAGACAGCTAAGTTCCACGTTGGAATGCCACAAGGATCAAAGCCTGTCAAACTTACTGAACTGGTACAGTTGTGTTTGCGATAATTTATGTTCTATGTTTGAATTTATTATCTTGTTTGAAAATATAGTCAGTTCTTTTCATTACAACAACTTAGTCATGTTTTCCCTTAACACAGGGGTATCTTCAAACAAACATGAAGTTTTCATCAAATGCAGCCATGGTGGTATGTAATAATAAGATTTTAGATGTTTACAAAAAGTATGGTAGAAAGAAGACAGCCTGAGTTATAGTGTAGATGACTATTTCTGGTATGGTGGAGGCCATATTTGTACTGAGCTGTTACCTTTGTGTTTTACAACTTGTATTTGTATTATGAAATCAGCCGAAACATATCAAGTAAACTCTGATCTCATTCACAGTCCATGAAGCCAAAGACGAAGAAGAAAGAAGAAAAGAGGAGAAGAAAAGCGCAGGTATTGGATTGATTTAAATATTCTGCACGGAGTTGGCTGGGGTCGGGGGACAGGGAGGGGGGCTGGAGTAGAGATGTGATGGAGGCGTGGCAGAGGTAACAAAGTCTTTGAAATCAATGCTCGTTCGGCCAGATATGAGATGAAAAAATGAGACGCAACTTGATCCGATCTTCATCTTCCATTAATTCGTATCCTGTAAACTCCTTTGGTTTGTATCCCTGTAATCCCTGTTCGATACCCCGGAATATATATTTTAAATATTCCGTACTCCGTTGAGTTTTTCCTTAAGTATGCCGTAGCCTTACAATTTTCTACCCAAATATTACGTATTCCGATAATCCGTAATAGGGCCTCACCCATGTAAGTAGCCTTGCAGCATTTTAAAGTCAGGAAGATTAAGAAATCAAGCCACCATTCATTTGTTTTCCCTTTTTCTTACCAAACAGAAACTGAAAAACCCAGGAACTATCTCCGCAGAAGTACTCGAGTTGCGCCAACAAGAATTAGAAGAGAAGTTTCCAGAGAGAAAGGAACTGGATTTAGACGCACCATGGCAAATGGATCTATTGAAACTCCAGCGGAAAGTAAAGTGAGTAAAACTTAAGACTTGCACATTATTTTAACCCAGACTGACGATTTAGAATCTCAACTGAGGTTAATGTAGCACAAAGTTGCTTTGGCCTTCATTCCGACGAGGAACATATTCTTCCTGTTCTCAAATGGCTTTTTGTCCTCTTTGTTATTTTTCTTGTTAGGGGCCTGATTTTTGACTGGATGGAACATTATCGTGTAGCTGTTGGCATATCCCCTCCATTCCGTTTTTCGTCCCGTTCAAAACGCCGTGCCATGTCACATTCCGCTCGATCGATGCCAGGTGCTCTTCCTTCAGGGTTCGAGGCGACAAGGGCCTTTATACGTCGATCTCCCTCGGCACCCCCCATCCCGCATCCTAAAGGCAAATCTTGGTACCGTTCTAGTTCTCAGTTGGGCACACGTCCGCATAGCTCAGTAGAGAAAAGCAAGGTTACGCGGATTGAAGACAGCAGAAGTGTAACTATTGAAGTACCAACCAGGGACATGCAAAGTTCAAGGATCGCCAGTAAAGTTCCCTCTGCAGTTTCAGGGTAAGAGGCTAAGTTTACTATCATTATGTTGTCTGCGTTTTTCAGTATCTTCACGTAGGTACTTTGGTATCCAGTTTAACTGTTTGGAAACGCCTCAACTCTGTACAGACAATGATCAAAGAAAGAAGAGATGTATGAATTTCATTTGTTGAGACTCGCTGAGGTTTAGCTTCTTCGAAGTGAATGAAAATTCTTTGAGGTTACATTTATTATTCTCTCTCTAGTTCTCACAGTCCGACGCACACCACACCACGGAGCCCTTTCCGCTGTGGAGTGACACAGCAGGCTCGCGTTGCCACTCCTCCGAGAAGTGGGTGTCCTGTGTATCCTTTTTCCAAAAAACTTGCGATTTTTTTTGAAATGTTAATAACGTCTTTCATTACTGTGTGCCATGAAAATTTTGTGCGAGTTATATTCTGTGGATTGGTGATTTGCGAGAACCAAGAAATGAGATGACCAAAATTTCTGCTTGGAAATAGTTTTCGCAAATTTTGCTTGAGCAGGAAAACATCAAGTGCGACGAAAGTAACGCTTTATTTCAACTTTGATAATTTATTAAGTTACTGTGCACTGCGTTATTTGAAACAAACTCGATCAAGTATTACATGGTAATACATTACTATCCTCGAGTACCAATGTGGCAGCAAAATTGAACAAAGAGCCTACCAATTGCCCCTGTCTACTCCTCTGGAGTTGTTAAGGGACTAACGATGATGAGTTTTTGCAGCAATAAAGACGCAAGACATTTTTGTGCGGGAACTCATTCAGTTTGCGCATTGACGTCAGTCCAGCAAGAATCCAACCGACAAAATTTTCATGATACGCTGTCTCTCTACGGTTTTGTGTCTTTGGTGTGGCTGTGATGTGTCTGTGTATTGCAACGCGACGCACCAAATAGTCGAATGTAAAGTGGAATGAAGATTTATCTTTAAGCAAGGAAACATTTGGCTAGACGTGCAGATAACAGCACGTAACTGACCGGTTTACCTTTTTGTTGGTTTACAAATCCTTGATTAGTTTCTTAGCGCTTTGAGATCTGAGGTGCTCGGAGAGAAAGATCCACAATGCAGGTACTTTAACTGAATTGAAATATCGATCAACTGAGTGAAAGATTTTCAGATGACTCTACGACAATGTGAAATTAAGGTTGATTTTGCGGCTGATGTTTCTGCCCATTTCAATCGTCACGGTGTCAAATAATCTAAACCGTAACGTTAATTAGAATTTTAACATTTTACTCTCTTTAAACACAGATGTGATCGTCGGAAGATTCCTCTCGTCACGGACTTGGAGTACGACTGTTTTATTACTGAGCACGTACCCAGGACTCAACTGCTGGTAGTCAGTGTCACGTCATCTCAGTAAGTGACTGTCACGTCATGTCATTTTTCGACTTTCTTGCGGCAGTTTTGATTTTGAAAAGTTGCAGTAAAATGTTTCCATTACTTGAGCTCCATTTTCGCGGTTGCAGATGATTTTTACGAGTATGGAAATTAAGAAAAGAAACTGACTTTAAGATTGCTTGAAGCTGACAATTAACTTGTCCCGAAAGTGTTTCAAAATGCACTTGGAAATAGAGTATGTTTAAATTTTCAAAATTTTCTGAGCAAGGGTACCTCTGACCCCACCTCCGGACCTCCCTTCGGCCCACTTTAATACAAAACTTAATCGTTTGGCCCCTCACTTCAAAATTCTTTTTTCGGTGCCCGTCATCAGTATTATTCTACAGCATGCGTCCCTTTTTCACTTTGAGCCCAGTTGTTTAAAAGATAAAGCAATCCTACGGATACATTGCTATTCAGCGGACGTGTTAACAAAACATGCTTCGCTATCCACCAGATAAAGATTTATTCTGCGGGTAGCGTTTCCACTCCTTAAACAATTGAGGTCTATTATTTAAATTGCATACGCTTATAAGGGACCATTGAATAGATATTCTTTCTTTGCTATTACAGACACCCCGATGCAAATCCTTGTGACAGCATGCTGGATCAACTGTTCCACGAGAAAAACCGTAACAGGTCTCTACCTTGTGTACAGGTAAAATTTCTTCCTTCATCCATGCTTTTATTAAAGGGTTTCCTTAGCAACTTGGTCGTTTCAGAAGTCACTTAGTGTGAGTACTATGGCATTTTTAGAGGTATCCCTGTGTTTTTAACCCTTATTAACGAGATAACACTGTTCCTATCAACAAATCGACAGTACCTGTGGTTTATCTTGGTCTGTACTCTTATTGACAACGATGATTGTCATCACTGTGGTCAAATCCTGTAACAGTATCTCAACTTTTTTTTTTTTACGTTATCCACTCCCCTTCCCTTTCCTCCCGACAGGCACAGAATGATCCTTTCCGATTGGTACGTTACGACATTTCATCAGCATCGCACTTTGGTACTCAGTCCCAGCCTCTTCTTCTCAGACGACATAACGCCGTTCCAGGAATGTTCTTGGTAAGGTTTGCACGGTTACTATTGGCTCACTCTATTAATGATGCTCAGTAAAGTGTTACCTTTGAAATTTGAATAACCCCCTGCTCCCCTCACCCACTCACACTGGAATTCCTGTCCATTCTCCTGAATGGGAGCCATGAAGTAAGGATATATTTAAAGACAAGTAACAGAAATTCACAACTTTGTCACAGATGTACACTGGTGGAAGACTTTTATTTGCTGATCATATTTTCAATGGTTATGGAAATGCCAAAAAAGATTTCCTCAAACAGGTATTTGTTCAGTTTAGTTTTCGTGTCAGCTTTCAATTCTATTTCACTTGTTTCCTGATTTACTGACGGGAAACTATTTTTCTGCCTCAGATAATGCGAACAAGGAAGGACGCTCTGGAGGGCAAATCCCTCCCAGCCGACTTCCGTTTGAGTCCTACTCGCGGTCGTTCAGGCCCAAGAGCTGCCTGGGGCGGAGAGATCGGTGGTGTGAAAATAAGTGAACGAGCTCTTAACATGAGTCCAGCTTTCCGAGAAATGCAAGTGTCTCACAGCAACACAAGGCTGGATTCTGCAGCCACGACTGCATCTTTAGGTTCAATTTCTGTTGATGTCAGGTAAGGTGTCACTTCGTCAAACGTTACTGGTGTTTTGGCAGGTGGATAACAACTCTCGTGGAAAATACTTGAAAGAAAAATACTTCCTCTCCAAAGTAATGAGACTGGCCAATAATAAGAGAGAAAATTTGAAAATTGTTATTTGTTAATCAAAAGGTATGCCTTGTCTGTCTCAAACACCACGGTATAGGGATTTTTTTCCTGTAAATCAATCGCAGTAGATATTATGTACCTGTTGAGTGAGTGGACGAGCCCGACAGGGAAATAGTTGGCTAGGCTTCATGAAGTATGGCCCGAGCGTTAGAAGGACACGATAGACGGGCGCACGCACGAACGCACGAACGCACGCACGAACGCACGCAAGACAACCACAAAAAATGATTCTGCAATAAAAAATTTTCCTTAAGTTTTTGGGTCAGAACAAAAAAGTCGCAGTTCATCTTCAAGTTCACAATTAGAATTCATGTTTTCCGTAGAATTTTAAAAATAATTACAAAGCTGCAGGAATACAGGGCCGGATAACTTTTCCCAGACCATCTCCGACCCAACACACGTCATGTTATCACATGTATGCTATTTTATATTACTCATCTCTCTTTGTCATTTGTCTCATTAAGAATGTGTAGTAACTATTGCACTGTTTGGTTTTCTTGCAGGGGTGGAGCTAATTCAGCGGCAAGTTTTGTCAATTTTGGTTTGTCAATAGACAGTCCATATCCGATGAACTCTAAAAAATGGATGACTACTTCAGAGACAATCCCTGAACATCGTCGAGTACAGACATCAGCCTGGTAGCCTAAAACTAAAACGAGATAGATAATAAAAAAGTTTATTGAGATAGATAAATTCTTATTTATTTCTACTACTTCGCAGAACTCAGTATCAAAGAGGAAATATTTTTGTCACCGCTTATTTTAAGAGTACAAGTTTATTCATTATTTCACGAATGATTAAAAGAAAACTCTTTCAGAACAAATTGAAAACTTTCTTGAACTGCATCAAATAGAGATAGTAAATATGTTTTTACCTACCAGTCGTTGTCGGCATCTATAGAGTATTTTGAACGGTCGATTAAAACGGACTCTGTTGTTGTTGTTCAGGTATTGAGCTAGTTAAATCCAAACCAGTTTGAAAAATCGTAAAGTGATTTGATTTCTCCGACCTGTTTCAATTCAATACCTTTAAACTTAAATATTGACACATGACGAAAAGACTTACAGCATCTGTATTCTAAAAGAAAGCGCTGCGATCTACCGTCGACTTCAAATGCATCAAGACGAACGAAGTCTTAGGAAATGAAAGTGGGTTACTCGGCATCTACTGAGTAAAGAGGTGGATACATCACTAAAAATTATCCATAGGGCCTCTATTTGCATACATTACAGGATATTGGTCATCATCCGCTTTCCTATATAATAAAGATAAAATCTGAAGAACTACGTGGAACCTTTCGATGTTTTTCGAGCGCTATGAACCCGATCTAAGAGTGTTCATCCGCGGCACTTATCAGTCTGTTGAGTGAGTATCACAGACTGAGTTATATTTGTGTGTCCCTGTATTAAATCGGCGATGGATGGAACTGGACTGCTCGTGGTTTTGAGATTCTTCAGATGTCACCCGGGCGAGTATTTTAACTAAGACTTCATTTTAAGTTCGGTCATGTTTATCAAATTCAGCCGTCGAGGGCGTAGAAAAAAGAATTTCGCTAACAGATTGAGGCGTGCGTCTCGTGTCGGGCTAAGATTTAGGACATTGTCGCGACAGTCTTGAGACATGAGAATGGCTGTCGCATACAACATATTTACGTGATTCATCTTAACCTTAACTTGACTTTTCGAGAGTGTTTTCAATTCGAATCAGGAACAATTGATCGCAGAGTACGAAACGTGTCTAAATTTTTTTCGACCTGGTGATACCCCGGCCTTGCACGTTATACAAATACACGCGCTTAGATAATGGAACTTTGCTGTTAATAATTTAGCTGATCATCCTAAGTTAAATCCATCTTCCGTTTTTCAATTTACTTTAATTTGTAAAGTAAACGTTACGGCAATTTTCAAACAAAAACTCTTTTGAAAAAACCTATATAAACACCTCATGTAATCCAAACAGCATTAGCAAGGTGGCTGGTGATTGGGTGATTTAACAGGTGTTACAGGTGATCTCCCATTTAAGTAAATGTGCTAAACCTGTAATGCTCTTGTCTTTAACCACGCATGCGCGTTTGCAAATGGAAGAATTACTTACACAAAATAAGACTTCACTGATTACCTTGAAAAGCACTGTATTGAACGCGGGCGTTTATAGAGCGGCGGAGTGTTGGTTAAGATAATGCATATTACAATATCATACGCTTGGGAACTACCTGAATCGAAAAACAAATGCTGACGTTTGGATTGATCAAAGGATTTCACGCAGCGAATTATAGCTTTGTGTTAACAATCAGCTATGATTCCCTAGCAATAGGAATTGTGCAATTTCCAGCTTGTAGCCTCGGGTGATTTAAAGCTGCAGTTCTTGATCAGCGTCTTCACGCTCGGAAAGCGAACAAGTCAGTGAGCCGGTCAAAAAGTTGACAGCATTAGATTCAGTTCGCCAGACATGATACGCAAGAGATTGCCTAAATCAGTGACCGTCTCACTTGTTACCATTTGCATCATAAGCGCTATTGTCGTTAAGTATTACAGCTGGGAAACTGTGAAGGAGGAAGCATTTGCAATCGGTACTGAGCAAGGCATTCTTCGCGGAAAAAACCTGATTGAAAACAAACAAGGGGAGAGTCACAGGGAAGAGAAGCATCAGGAAACTAAACGGTAAGTGAATCAAAAGTTTTTTCTAAAAGCTGCTCTTCCTCTTTGTCAGTCGTGGTGGTGGCATTTTTAAATAAAAATAACAGGTCGTGTATTTATACATCCAAACGAAAACAAATACACGTGATTAATATCTATGTGTTGACAGCTCATTTCAGCGATATTGTCGTGCGTGCGCGTGTTGCTTTATTTAAAGTAAAATGTTAAAATTAGCGTAAGGGAGTTACTACACTGTCGTAACAACAGATTTAATCCTGATATCATCCGCCTTCTTCAAATGCCGACATTGATATCAAAGTGAAAAAGAATAATGAGAACGCTTATCTACGCAATCGTGAGAGAGTTTTTTACAAATGATTTTGATATCAACCATTTTGATCATGCCTTCAATGGCCATAAGTTGTCCAAATTCTTTCACAATCGTGTAAAATAATCACATTTAATGTAATTCTTTCTATTCATAGATTTATGTTCTTCGATGTTCATAGCCTCATAAAACCTATTTAAATTTTCACATTTTCCTTTTTCGATACCTATTTGTTCTGAGGGCCATAAGTTGAAAAAAATGAATTCTACTCACGTGCTTACCAATCTTGTTCTAAAATTCTTAAGAGGTCTTTTATCAGAATGTGCCTTGAAAGCTATTGATCGTTCAATATCTTGAGCATGACCTTGCTGATCTCTTTTCCACTCAACCTATTTTGAGCACTTGCATCAATAATAACTACTTTATTGTCAAGTATCAAGAAGCATTTGGTCTTTTAAAGTGAATGGAAACTAAAAGCGATAACCGCAGGACTTTTGATGCAGTTTTGTGGAAGGAAGCTGCCCTAAAATATTGCAAATACTGCTCCCTTATGTCAGAATTCATATTCTCCATACTCCTCTTTATACATTTCCTTCGGTACTGAGAAGGAGAATTTGTATAATAATCAGAGCTTCTTGAGTTAGCGAACATGTCCTTTATTCTCATGACCTTAATGAATGATAAAAGGGTATCATAGTAGGGATAAATTAAAGGTTGATCATTCTAAGTATTCAAAGGCTTAACAAAGCCGTAAACAAATTAATGCAAACCTAACTGCTCATTTTGGATTAATGTTTTTATTTTGTTTGCAGTTGCAAGCCAAAAAAAAATGTGGTTTTCCTCAAAACTCATAAAACAGGGAGTAGCACTATCACGAACGTTTTCAATCGTTTTGGCGAAAGAAACAAGCTTGTATTTGTTGTTCCAATAGAGAAACAAAATCGTTTAGGTTGGCCATGGTTCTTTCAAGAAGATCACATGATTCACTACAGCATCAAGCCCAACATACTTTGCAGCCATTCGCGTTATAACCGAGCAGTCTTGGACCGAGTCATGCCGAAAGACACTGTATATGTGACTATTCTTCGGGATCCAGTGGCTCAGTTTGAGTCAACTTTCTCTTACATGACATTTGGGGAAATACTGGGCATTTCGAACGAAACAGACCCTTTAGAAGCCTTTTTTGAAAACCCGAAGGATGTTTTAGTTAATTATATACTCACCCAAGACTTACGAATCAACAGCGATCGATTGAAACTTATTCGAAATGGAATGTTCTTCGATTTGGGTCTGGAATCAAAAGATTTTGACAACATGGAAGAGATTCGGCAAAATATCCAGCGACTGGATCGAGAATTTCACCTGGTGATGTTAATGGAGTATTTTGATGAATCACTGATCATGTTGAAAAATCTTCTTTGCTGGGATATAGAGGACGTCGTTTATTTCCATCACAATCAAAGAAAAAAGACTCAAAAAAGGAATCTAACAAGTGAGCTGGTGACCCAGATTGAACAATGGAGCGGTGCGGATAAAGCACTATATGATTATTTCAAAGTTTCGTTTTTACGAAAGCTCAGCAACCAAACTCCGGATTTCTTTCGTGATATTTCTGTATTAAGAAAAAAGAATGCTGCTTTGCGAGACCAGTGTTTAGATTCTACAACAGAATATGACGGAGATTACCAAGACGTTGAGATTCAAGAATTTAAAATCAAGAAAAATCTGACGAAAGCAATGAAGACTTCATGTGATAAGATGACTTGGAATGAAGTCAAATATCTTGGTTATTTCAGGTATAAACAGAAAAAGTTATTAACGACTAAAATTTCATCGAGAACGCTATGGGATGAAATTGCCACTTTTGTGCCATTTATATAATGCATTAGACTTCCTAATAAATATAACCTTTTGCTGTACGTGTAAGTTATCATTTTCTTATGGATTTCAGTGGATTAAATCTCGTTAACTCTCGTCTCGGTTGTACCAGTGGTTCTACATTCTTCGATTGCTGACGGCTTGAAACGAACTGCCGGAAAACATGAGAGGAATGACACAAGAGAGCTACAGGGCTTTTTTGCTTGGATACGGTCAGAAATCAAACGAAACTGACCTTTAACCATCGAAAATCGGACGGAACCGTCTGTAATCTGGAAAAACCGTCCTACATTGGACAGAACCGTCCCAAATCAGACAGAACCGTTCGAATTCGGACGGAAAGCTTACGAAGCTTAAATGGTTTCAAGCTTCGATGAGTTAAACCTTGTCTGAGAATTAAGCCTCTCATACCGACTTACTCTAATTTCAAATACTCAAATACCATTACAATAACATACCGATTTTGAGTCGCCAAAAACTTTCTGTAATCTTCACAGCAGTCAGTTTTACCATATTTTATATTTATGTCAATCGCATAAATCACTCATCAACGAGGAACAGAAATTGAACACGTCCAAATTAATCGCAAAAAGTAACACCAACTAGAATTTTTGTTCCTTTAATTTTCACTTCATTTACAAAATATAAACAAACCGACTCGTTTAAATTCACAAAGACCATTTTCAGAATCTGCTGATGACAGGGTGTTTGTATGTTAAGTGGCCACAAAATTGCGTCTTAAGTTCTCCAAAAAATATGAAAAACGACAGGGAATTGGTGTGTACTTAAGCACGCTGTGAAAACGAACTTAAAAAGTTAACTACGTTACACTGTAAACGTTTTAAAGTTCTTCCAATTCTAGTTTTGGAGAGAGCGTCTTTGACCTGGTTCTTTTTCCTTTTTTCGCGGAGAGAATCGGCCACATTTTAAATAGAATTGGCGATTTCAACTTGGCCAAAAAGTCCCGAAAACGGAACAGAACCGGTATCATGCAAGTCAAGTGTTTCTGTTTGAATAAAATCAAGCAGATCTCTTGAGTCTTCACCTTCTTCGTCTGACTCTTTTGGAGACTGAGCGTCATCGTTGGAATACGCACGCGCAGATGAAACTATAGATGAAGTTCCGTCCTGCTCCTCATCAGACTCAGAGATGTTCGATTCCAGGCCTCCATCTCTTGCCTCGTTTTGGCTGCTCGCATTGGCCATCATAGAAGCAAGCGAAGCGTTAAAATTAAGCGGGACCGAGTTCGGGCGTTTGACATCCGTTGGTGAATACTGCGTTGAAGAGGGCTGGAAAGTAGCCGAAACTGCTTGCCTGGATAGTAATTGATATCACAAGATATTAAATTTCGATTTTACTGTCTTACATAAATCCTACCAAGTTAAATTTATGCAGTGAAGTAATAATTCTACTCTGAACTTAACCCTGCGCTTTGTTTTTGTCTTATAATCGTGTAAGGACTGAAGGAAACCTTCGTTTCTCCCCTGCCCCCTACTTTTTCCCCAAAACACTAAATGTTATCACGCCTTCTAGCATGGGGTGATAGAGTGGAAGGGGGGGGGGGAAGGGAACCCCAGGCGAGGTGACTTAGAGACGGGAGACGTTTTGTTCCCCGTCCCCACCCCCCCACTCCTTCACCTCTTGGCGCCTCCCACAATTAAATTTTGTTTAACACTGACTGGTACATTGACCATACCTTGTGCCCATCATGAACTGTTCCAGTGATATCTGATGAATTCCTGCTACAGCCGCTTTTATCTGTGTCTGGCGACGCTCTAACGAAAGAATTTCCTGTGAAAAAGGCAAACAAATCAACCCACAGAACGATTGGTCAACAAGGGTCGTGATAACCTCTTGAAGTAAGTTCATTTACATACTTAAACGATTTTCAATAACAAAACAGAAGTCTCCACTTACCACTGGTGTCTTTTGCTTTATTAATTTAACTCCTTTGGGAGGAATAGTCGACGAGTCAGACCGTCGTGACCAGGTCCTCGCCGCCATGTTGACCGTGACACTTGTCGTTTGACTGGTACCTGATTTGGCCCCATGGTTTACAGTGTCCTCTGTTTGGCTGGTTTCAACGGACGTCATGCTTTCGCTGAACAATTCAGACTGCACTGTGGATGGTGGTGACATGCCAAGGTATTCCATAACAAGAAGTTTAAGTCGCTTGTAAGCGTCACTAAGATCTTCTGTTGGTTAATCGTAAGACAGGTTTGAGTTAAAATCCAGTGTCCTCGATCATGATTCTTTCCTCACATTACAACCTAAAATCAATACCTTTGTGTGGGATCCGAAAAATACATTTTTTAATTTAACGCTTTACACCTCAACTTAATAAGCACGAAGGAAAAAAATAAAAAATCGACGATTCCTCACCGCTGTTAATAGCCATGTCAAAGAAGCCGGGATTTTTTCTGTTGTGTTCCAGGCATAAGGTAGCTCGCTCCAACGACTGCAGCAGCAAAGGTTCTGGGTAATCACCTCGCTCCCGAAGGCGTGCTTCGTGAATCTGAAATCAAAATACAACTTCACTGTTCCGAACTTAAAAAATATTTAATACTTAGGCGGTGTGCAAAATGACTGAAAGACGTTTCGGAAAGTTGAATTAGTTTCGACGTCATGTCTCGTGAAATATCCTTGATAATTATTGTGACAGTAGAAAATACGACCAATTATCTTTTAGATATCCTACCTCTCTTGATACAGGAAGCACTAAAACATATCTGGGCTCAAAATAAGTGTTCTTGAAACTCAAAACTCCCTGAAATTATACATAAAAAAGGATCTCAATTGCTTTCTTTAACATTGCCGCACAAGAGGAAACAAAACTCAATAACTTACAGGGAAATAACTAACCTCTAAGTCCATGTAGAACACTGCAGCAAGTCCCTCACGGGCCACACTCTCCACGGCCTCTCGTGTGACACCGTACCAGTTCCCCGCCAGTTGGCACGTTTGTAGGAATTTACCCTACGGATAAACACAAACCTGACATGACTGAGTCCTATACCTTTGGATGTGGTTTTTCTCCGTCTATCCAAGACTTCTTTGTTTATTACATAATGATAGTTCCTGATTGTTACATGGCACCAACTGTTTAACCTACCATTACAACTCCTTGTTCAAATTGTTCTTGAGTGACAAAACAGTAGTCCTCGAGATTTTCTTCCTTCTTCCGCGGTATTCTTGTGGTATGACATACGCTGTGAGAAGTGAAAAAGAAAAACAAAGATGAATCACAGCACTGAGCAGGTGACAAAAGAGGATACGGAATTTTGTCTTGAATCTCACCCGAAGCCAAAGAAGTCAGGGAACTCTTGACATAATCTTCGTGCCAAATATCTTTTTCCTGATCCAGGGGGTCCACACAGGATCAGCATCGGGTAGGGTGTGTCCACACTTGGCAGGGTGCTATCGGAGAAGAGACGTTACTTAATGTCAAAACGTTGTGTTGACGTCAATATTTGGTAGAAATTGTCACGTAAGCTATCAGAATATCAGAGAATCGAGTGCAACACCACAACGTTATTGAGAAGCAGAGATTTCCAAACCTGGCGTGCAATTAACAACGCTTTAGCTTCAATTATTTTACTTTTACAGGACGCTAATTATTAAGGATATGCTCCGAGGCATGACCCTTTCAGAGGATTGTTGAATTTTGAGTGCAATTCCAGCACACTACATGCGTAAAACGCGCACACTGTACGTCACTACACGCAAATGCTCGTATTAAAGACACACGCAGGTGGGTGTAACATACGACTGAATTATACGCAACCAGTCTATAATAACTCAGAAAATGCGTGTAATGAGGCAACAATGCGTGTGATGAGACGAAAAGATTGAATTCTGAAAACTTGGATACTTTAATCAGACAAATACTGCCTCCTAAATTACCTGTCATGAATTCTTGTCGGCTGGAGAAGAGACTTTGTCACGTGGAACATGTGATCACGCGCTGCAATGACCTCTGGAGGGGGGTTAAACATATTCACAGATGCAACCTGTTGAATCCCCAACAAGGCAAAAATTTAAAGGAAGGAATTTATATTAGACATGAAAAGTATACAAAAACATTTTGAAGCAATGCAAAACACAAAGACCTGATATTTGGTACACTTAACTCTCAGGATTTAGAAGTCCTGGCTGGGGGAAGAGGGACATGGCAGTCACACTAAACCCTTACAGTGTATCTCTCCACTCAGGAGTGTAAATGTACACAGGCTAACTGCTAGACTTGTTCTTTTCACCTTAACCCCTTACACCCAACACCAGTATGAATATTCTCCATAATATTCTCTATATATCCCCTATGACACTGATAGGAAGAATTTGTTTTAATCAGGAGCTTCTTTAGTTGGCCATCATTTTGATTATTCTCATGATATTAGCCGCTGATCACTGTGAAAAATCAGAGGGTTAACTTTCAAACAAAGGAGATACATGTCAAGGGAACTATAGTGCTCTGCTGGTTGGGGTTATTACAAGATGGTTAAGTTTTAATCAATTGAATTGATAATGCACATTGGCCATGGTAAAGAGTGGCCCTTGGTCAGAGTAAAAATATGCACGTAACATATAAACAGTTGAGTACACAATCTATTTAGAGCCATTAAGTTCATGGCTGTGCTACATTGTACTCCATTACCTTTTCTTCAAGTGACACTTTGGATCGATCCAGTTCAGTGAGAGTTTGTATTCTGAATAGTAAAGACAGTCTGTAGTCTGGCATCCCTTGGATTGGATTTCCAAGCAAGTTCAGATTCCGTAATAAATTTAGTTCTCTGATGTATCGCACTTCGGCAATATCAATCACCTGAATGTGAAAAGATTAAGAGCTGTAAGCTAGTGGCTATTATGACACCAAACATTCATGGGCAAAGGAGAGGTTTTATTCTTTTAGTTAATTTGATCAAGCCCTTGTAAGACTAAAAAAATCTGTTCAATCATGGTCTTAGTTCCACTTGTGATGTCATTATTTCCCTTGAAAGGTGTCT